TTTGATTCCTGGTCAGAGCACATGCCTGGGTTTCAGACTCAATCCCCAGTAGGGGGTATGCAGGAGGCAGCTGATGAATAATTCTTTCTAATCATTGATGTTTCCTTCTCTCCCTCTCCTTTCCTCTCTTTGAAATCAATTTTTTAAAATGAAGATAAATGCACTTAAAAAAAAAAAAAGAACTGATGAGCAAGATCAGGAGCTGATTTGTCTCTATTGCAGCTACTTAACTTTTCCATTGCAATGAAAGCAGCCTTATACAACATGCAAATAAGTGCACATGCTGTGTACCAATACAACTTTATTTACAGCCAAGGCCAGATGGCTCGGTTGGTTGAAGCATCATTCCCTACACCAAAAGGTTGTGGGTTGGATTCCAATAGATGTTCTTTCTCTCCCTCTCTCTCTCTCTCTCTCTCTCTCTCTCTCTCTCTCTCTCTCTCTCTCATCAATATAAATACATCCTCCGGTGAAGATTAAAAAATATATATTTACAAAAACAGGCAACTAGCTTGTGGTCTGTAGTTTACAATCTTGATCTATATCCTAGGGTTTATACATGGAATATATATTCTACACATTATTTCCTGAAATTGAGCCTTTGGAAAGAACTAGAAAAAAGAGTTGCAGGTATATTCTCTGGTAAGATCAAATTTATCTAAATTAGGGCAGATCCCATACGTTCTGATAGTAAGCTGATAAAAATAAAGCTAGCATCTTTTTATGATAGTCTCCCCCAGGGAGGGTGGGCAAAGCCAAGCATTACCTCAGAAAGCTTAAGATAGAAACAGATGTTCAATCTTAAAATGGCACACCATTAAAAATAACCATGATATATTTATTATGAAAATTGCCATCAATGCTAGATTTAAAAACTTTGTCATGGTTGTAAAACAAACTTCAGTATATACACACCATGAAGCATAGTCATAAAAAGAAATAAAGTATTGATGCTATGATGTATATGAACCTTGAAAATATGCTGAGTGAAAGAAGTCAATCACAAAAGTTCATATACTGAATAATTCCATTTTTATGAAATATCCAGAAGAGACAAGTCCATAGAGACTGAATGGAGCAGACTGGTGATTGCTAGGAGCTGGAGTGAGGGGAACGGAGAGTGAGTGTTAATAAATGTGAGGTTTTCTCGGGGGTGATAAAAATGCTTGGAAATATACAGAGCTGGTGGTAGTAGAACACTGTGAATGTACTAAACAGTACTAAATGCAACTAAAACTCTGTACTTTTTAATAGTTAATTTTATGTAATATAGATTCCACTTCAAAAGAAAATTCAGAGTAGTACCCTTGGAACCTTCTAGATTAATCAACAGAGCAACATACTGTCAGGTAACTTAATTATTTAACCAGTTTATATAATTGGTAGATCCATACCAAGTAAATGTTGACAGACAGCTGAAAGATATGATGATGCCTGATCTCAAGGCACTTTATTTGATAATCAGCTCTTGAAGCCTTTCCTAATATGCAACAAAAAATTATATCAACGTGTAAAGGAGAATGCTTTCTGAAAACCCTGGAAGAGAGATGCAGGAGTATATGAACCCAGGCCCACAAAATGGTCTGAAATGTTACTATGTGAAGTCACAAAATGGGTAGACCTGCAGTTAGGAGAAATAAATAGATCCCTCTTCCATTTATTCCAAGTGACTGCTATGTCATAAGACAGATCCTACAACCTTGTACCTCTAAGTGGTATAAAGATACTAGTTATTAATGAACATCAGTAGCCATGGGTCTAAGAATAGCCCATAAGTCTCTGGTTAGAATGAAAAGGAAGGGAACTGTCATTAAAGTTGCAACAATTTGATGTTACCCATTACAAGTTTCTTCACAAAATAATAGCAATTAAAAACAAAAATCATTAAGCTAAGTCTAAAGATTGTATGCTAAATTTGCAAACTGCAAGTTGCAATTTGTAAAAAAGGGAACTGGCATAAAGCTGTCTAGAGGAAAAAGCCTCATAAACGAATTCATTATAGGGGAAAGAAGAAAACTCTGGTCTATTTGAACAGAACTAAATCCATGTAAAACTAACAAAAGTCCATAAACTGGCAGGACCAGAGCTTATCCTTTCAAGAGAATTAAACTAATGGTAGCTTTTAAGGGGGGGGGGGGGACATTTTCTATGTTCAATTGTTTTAGAATATTAAATGTACAAAATTCTTGAAATGAAAACTTGGATAATCCAGCAGAAACGTCAAATAAAATCTCTAACCTATGGAAAAAGTCTCAAATATTTTAGCTGGGACCTTGTAAAAAAAAAATCATTTACATAAGACTTTTAACCACACATAAAATGAAGAAAAAAAAAAGTGATTCTTACAATGAATGCCCTTCCACTTAATACAACAAATTTTCTCTTAGGGTCCACTTACTAAGGGCTGTCAGGGCAACCATAATGATCAAATTAATTATATAAACTTGGTCACTTAGACTCTGTTTCATGCCGAAACCGGTTTGGCTCAATGGATAGAGCGTCGGCTTGGGGACTGAAACAGGTCCCGGGTTCGATTCCGGTCAAGGACATGTTCCTTAGTTGTGGGCATATCCCCAGTAGGGGGTGTGCAAGAGGCAGCTGATCGATGACTCTCTCTCATCGATGTTTCTAACTCTCTATCTCTCTCCCTTCCTCTCTGTACAAAATCAATAAAATATATGGGGGGGGAAATAGACTCTGTTTCAGGCTGGGGGTGGTGGTAAACTCAAGTGTGTCCTTGCACACTCTTGGATCTCCAGCCTGGGCAGTGGTTGCACAGTCCTCTTCTGTAAGTTAAGCCTTCGTTCCCCTTAAGAGCTGGGGAGAGTGGTCTCTGCCTGCGGGGGAGGGGGGCACATCCTGCCTAAGTCCTCAAGTGCCTCCTGGCTGCACTGCTGACCACCCCCCCCCCCTTGGTTTCTATGACCACTCTCTCCAGACTTCCTGCTTCTGACATGACCGTCTTCACCTCCTTCTTGGCCCATCTTCCCAACGGGAGGGTCTGTCTCAGCCTCCACTCTTCCCACTGCACATTCCTCCGGGACTAGTTCTCTCCTGCTTGAAACCTTCTCACTGGCCTCCCAGTCCCCTTAGGACCACGACTAACACTTTCTTCCTGTGCCCTGGAAGACGGCATAATCTGGTTCCCGTCCCCTTTACACGCTTCCTGCTGGATCCCCTTTCCCTGGCTCTTTGTGCTGAAGCCGGGCAGATCTCCTACCACCTATTCTGTTCTTTCCACCCGGAGGACCGCACGCCCCTGGCTGTGCCTCGCAGCCCACTCATATCCGAGAGCTCGGCTCACACTCTGGCCAATGGACACCACTCACCCACCCCACCACAAGGGTTCCTGGAACCTGTGCCACTCCCTACCACTTATCCCAACTGTAATAAATAGTTGCATGCTTAGTGCTCAGCTCCCCTGCTAGCCAGACGTGGGTCAGAATACCAAACCCATGTCTGGCTTGCTCACCCTCCAATCCCCAACATTTTGCACACCACCTTCCTCGCAAACATAAATCACTGACTTTTACTGAATGACTGATGAAGCCCATCGATTGCCATGGTTCCCACTACATTCCCAAGTAATCGGACATTTCCTGAAACGTCTTTTCTGAGCTCCAGATCTATATTTCCAACGAACATAGTGTCTGACCTTTCTTATTTCCCCTCGTTACTATAGTGTCTTCCCACACGAGTCAGTTCTTCCCTCTACATTCTCTGTTTTGGTCAATGATATCACCAGCTGCTCAGATGCCCAAGGCCAGAAACTGCTGAGTCCTTCGTTTCCTTTATTCTCCCTTTCTGAATAGTTCCCTAAAAGTCTCCCCACCCCCACCCCACCCCCTTCTTTTTTCTCCTCCCCCTTATTCCTACAGACAATCTTTGGCTCAAGTCCTCACTTCTTTCTGCTCTAAATTATTACAACTTCCTAACTTGTCTCCCCGCAGTCCTGACCACCACCGATCCAACCTATCCTCTTTGCCAAAGGCTTTTTTTTTATTTTTATTTTTAATAAAATACGAACATGATCAAATCATACACGACCCCACTTCTTTAAAAATCTCCTAGGGCTCCCGTTATCTCCTAAACTCTACACTCAGCGTCCAAGAGAGGCCCCGCCATGGTCGACCCTGAACTCCACGCTCCAGCCACAAATTAATTACTGGCAACGCTGAACGGCTCCGTCTTGTCCGTTTCACCTCCGAGAGGATGCTGCGTAGGCACGAAAGGTCGCCCCTCCTCGGTCACCCGGCTGCTGGTGCTTCGGGGGAAGCACCGGTCCGAGCCCCCACTCTTGCCCGGTGCCTCCATCCCATCAAACCCCATCCCTGCACCGAGGTCACCGCGCACGTCTCGTCCCAGGTCCCGCGGTTCCCACCTGCGCGCCCCTCCAGCTCCAGCGGCGCCCAGGGCGCAGGAGGGCGCACCGCGACCCGCCGCTCCGGTGACCTTCGAGCCCGGCGCTCCCGGGCCCTCCGACCCCGGATCCTCCCCTCTCCCATCCCGTCCTCCCGCTCCCCGCCCCGGGAGTGCGGAGGGGCCGGGGAGAAAGCGACGCCGCGGGCCACTTACCATTCTCCCCGGCGCTCCCCGCTCCCCGCTGCTCGCCGGCCCCGCCGTCTGCGCTGGAGCCGCGGCCGCCGCCTCCCTCCCGCTCCGCCCCAGCCCCAGCCGCTCCTTCCTCTTCCCGGGCTCCCTGGACACCCGCCCGGGGAGGGGCGCAGGGGAGGCGCACAGGGGAGGCGGTGACAGGTCCCGCGGACCGAACTACAACTCCCGGCGTGCACCATCCGCCCGGGAGCCGTCCGGCCCGGCCTCGCCCCTTCAGCCCGCCCGCTCCGCCCCAAACTCCGACTCCTTAGTGCTAGTGCGCCCGGTGCCGACAGTCCTCAGGCCCGCCCTTCCGACGTGCACTGCGCCACCCAGAGGCCCAAGGTACCCGGATCCCGATCCTTCCTACAAATCCCAGCGAGCACCGCGCCGCCCGGGAGCCGACACGGGTGCCCACCCCCTTAAAGGGGCAGCTACTCCCTCTTGACCGTGTCTGTGGAGACGGCGATCGTGAGAGGGGATCGGGCGGCTCGGGGTGTCCCCGTGACCGGACCCGGTCCCGGTCCCTGTCCCTGCACCAGAGGCGGCCCCGCCGCCTGCGAAGGGATGCGGGGAAGCCGCGTCGCTGACCACCCTTCGCCACCCGGCGCCGGAGAGCCGGTCCCAGGATGTGCGGCGTCCGGAGCATCCAGGTGAGCGCCGCATGGGGCTCGGGCGAGAGGCTCGGAGCCTCCGGTCCCGCCCGAAGTTCGGGCCCTCAGGGCTCCCTCCCTGGGTCTCTCCTCCCGGGAGTCTTCCCTTCCCAGGGCTCCCCTCGGGGCGGGTCTCCCCTCCTCTCCTCTCCTCTCCCTCTTCTCCTCTCCTCTCCGAGGGTCCCTCGGACGAGGGCCTTTCTGCCCCCAGCGCCCCGCTCTTCATTCCGCCTCCTGCGCGGGGGCCTGCGGAGAGAGAGGAGGCTCGTCCAGCCTTCCTCACAGCCGCCCGGGCAGACCGGGGCCCCGGCGATGGACCCGGGATTGCGTTCCGGGGGTGCGATGGGGCCGAGGCGCGAAGTGCAGTCTTGATGCGTAAAGCGGGGGGAGCCGCCCGAGGCAGCAGGTCCAGGGCCGGTGGGCTTGCAGACCCTCAGCCGGCTGCATCCTAACTTGGGTATCGGGTTCCTGTTGCTGTAGCGGGTCTACTAGCAGGGTCACACGGAAGACCGAACGCCTCCTGCCAACTGGCTGTTCTGGGCCATCACCCAGGAAAGACGGGGGGACCCGCCGTGGGGGGGGGGGGGGACTCAGCGAGGGCTGGGATTCAGCGCCCAGCGCATCTCCCCGCGCCGGAAAGCGGGGGAAGGGGGGTGCAGGGGTGGTGGTATGGGTCCCTTCCCCCTTCCCCAGGACTCCTGCAGTTCCCTTCTTCTGCCCCCTCGTCCGCTTTCCCGGCTCTAAAGGAAGAGCAGACGCAGGTCGCTGACCTCCAACCTCCCTCGCAGGCCCTGGGTCTCAATGCTTTTTGCATCTCACCTGATAGCACCTGAGTTAACGTGATGACTATTCTAAACGCCGCCCCTTTGGAACACGCTCTGAAGTTCACGTGATGTTAGATCGTATGATGACCTAGGTATACGATAGCCCAGCCTTTTCATAGTTATGCTTTTTTTTTCTTTTTCTTCTGGTTATTCTTTGGATCAGAGCATCTTACGGGTTCCAAATTTCTCCTGCAATATTGATTTTTTTAAAAGGTAGTGTCTCAGTGATTGGATTACTCCATGGACTGTTTCATTTTTGTAGAGTTTAATTAACAATTAAACACCTTAAAGATTTTTAATGTCCTTAAGAATTTTCTTTCTCCCTTTCTTAACTAATTTTCCAGTTCTTTTATTAATGCAATATGAATAACCATAGATTGTATTTTCAGGATAAGTGCTTTATTTATTTATTTATTTTAACTTTTTATTTATTTATTTATTTATTTATTTATTTAAGGTGCTTTATTTTTTTTTTAATAAATACACTTTACATCCTTCAATTTGTTCAATTTTATTTTTATATATATTTTTTAATATATTTTATTGATTTTACACAGAGAGGAATTGAGAGGGATAGAGAGTTAGAAACATCGATGAGAGAGAAACACCGACCAGCTGCCTCTTGCACACCCCCCACTGGGGATGTACCCGCAACCAAGGCACGTGCCCTTGACCGGAATCGAACCCGGGACCTTTCAGTCTGCAGGCTGACGCTCTATCCACTGAGCCAAACCGGTTTCGGACAATTTGTTAAATTTTAAAATAAGCTTTTAAAGTTAAATCCTCTATAAATTAGATTGTGGAAGATTGTGTGGGGGAGTGTCTTCCCTAGATCTTTCCACAAGCTCCTCCTTTGTTACCTATTCAGTTCCTGTTTCTTTTTGTTGTTGTTGTTGTTTTTGTTTTTTTGGGTTTTTTTGCTGAACCTGGAAGTGTTAGTGGTATCATGAGGAAATTCTGATTTTAAACTAGGGGTGTCGAACTCAATCAGAGAAGGGGCCAAAATCTAAAATCCAGCCTAAATCTCGGGCCGAATGGTTTACTGAACAGTCATAAACTGTCATTGTGATGGAAACGCAGCGGAGTGCAGTGATGACAGCGTGGTGCGGGCCACATTGCAAGGCCTGGCGGGACGGATTTGGCCCGAGGGCCTTGTGTTTGACACATGTGTTTTAAACCATGAAATAAAAATATTCTTCATATTCAGTGGAAGCTAAATAACTGGTACTGGACCCCCTGTTCTTGCCACACCCACAGTGCTTGCTCCAGAATTTTCTGCACATAACCCAAGCACCAGGTCAGTGCACCCCACCCCTGGGGCCAGGTTCAGCTGAGTGGGTGAGGCTAGCATCCCCGCTTGGGCTGTCCTGTGAACTGTGGGCTGCAGGTGGCCTGTGCCAGGCAGACAGTGCTGTGCAGTGAGTAAGTCAGACTCTTTTTTTTTTTTTTTAATATATTTTATTGATTTTTTCAGAGAGGAAGGGAGAGGGATAGAGAGTTAGAAACATCGATGAGAGAGAAACATTGACCAGCTGCCTCTTGCATCCCCCACTGGGGGCGTTAGGACAGGCTGACGCTCTATCCATTGAGCCAAACCGGTTTCAGCTAAATTAGACTCTTTTTCAGCAGTTGATCTGGGAAATCTGAGTGGTCTGGAAGGTTCCAATGAAGAGAAGTGAAGGAGGGTCTTGTGACTGCACAGGAGCCAGAGGCTGGGCAGCAGAGCTACAAGGTTTTCAAGTTTTAGCCCATTATAAAGAATTGAAAAAAGACTAACTGCTTCTGCTCCCCTCTGCTGGCCTCCCCTGTCCCTAAAGGGACTCCATACCCTAGGGCTCTGGGCTCTGGGGGCCCGAGCAGCAGATGTGGAAGAAGAAAGTTCCCTCACATACTCTGTAGTCGAGATGGGGCTCACGGTTAGAGGTGTGTGGGAGAAATCTTTACCTTTAGTGACTTTGTTCTGAAAAAGCCTAATCTGAGATTACATTATTATGCTTTGCTTTTCAGCTTTTTATCCAATAAACGGTATGTGACATTTCTGAATAGCTAAAAATTTTCTGTAGAATAAGAGCAATGGGATTTTAATGTAAAATGACAATGAATTAAAAGTATCAGAAGTTCTTTTGAGCAGGCTTATTGAATAACTTTAGACATTTATTACAAATATTTTTCTTCTTAACCAAATAACCTTATCAATTTAAAAGTTTTGAGATACCTGTTCTACACGTAGAAAAACAAGCAAAACTCGTTAGAAATTGGGTAAGTTAGGGAAATGTGTGTGTGTGTGTGTGTGTGTGTGTGTGTGTGTTTATTTATTTTAATCCTAACCTGAGGACATGCTTAAAAAAGGAAGAGAGAGAAACATTGATCGGTTGCCTTCCGTACTCTTCCTAACTGGGGATCAAACCCACAATCCAAATATATGCTCTGACCAGGAATTGAACCATCAACCCTTCAGTGCACAGGAGGATGGATGCTCAACCAACTGAGCCACTCAGGCTGGGTGGGGAGATATATTTTAATTAATGTTAGAATAGAAACTTTTTCAAATAGAAAACTTTGGGGGAGAGGTTGTGCTCAAAGTATTGATTTTTCTATTGCTCTGAGTGAAAAGCAACCTAGGGTTTTACTGTAGCTGAGTCATCCTGAAAATAATGACTCTGGCTCTGTTTTAGGGCATTTTCTAGCTTTTTAAAGATAAGAAAAGTGTCATGGGCTTGGTTTCTTGCTCTGCAATGTGAAAGGTGGTCATTACATGTAATAAAGATTTAGAGGGGGGGGGAAATAAACATTTATATAGGATTCTTAAAACTCTTCTGAGGTGATTGTAGATTCACATGTAGTTGTAAAAAATAACGTAGAGAAATCCTGTAGACCTTTTGCCCAGTTTTCCCCAATGGTAGCTCCTTACAAAGCTAGCAGAAGCAGGAAATTGCACTGATATAATCCACCCCCTTATTCAAATTGCACCAGTATCTTATGCATGTGTGTGTGTGTTTGTGCATCACGATTTGTATAATTCTATCACATGCGTAGATTTGTGTGGCCACACCACTGTCAAGATACAGAACATTTCTGTCCCACAGGTCCCTCCTGCTACCTTATTATAGTCACACCATTTTCTCACCCTTCCCTGACAACCACAATCTGTTCTCCAGCTCTACAGGTTGTCATTCAAGAATGTTGTGTAGCCGAAACCAGTTTGGCTCAGTGGAAGAGCTTCGGTCTGGAGACTGAGAGGTCCCGGGTTCGATTCCAGTCAAGGGCATGTACCTTGGTTGCGGGCACATCCCCGGTAGGGAGTGTGCAAGAGGCAGCTGATCGATGTTTCTCTCTCATCGATGTTTCTAGCTTTCTATCTCTCTCCCTTCCTCTCTGTAAAAAAATCAATAAAATATATTTAAAAAAAAAAAAAAAAAATGTTGTGTAAATGGAATCATGCAGTGTGTGTGACAGGCTTGAGATCTGTCCCAGGTTGTATGTATCAGTAGTTCCAAGATATAGAAACTTGAAGAATCTATACTAATAAAAGGGTAATATGTTAATTAGACTGGGAGATCTTCTGGACAAAGCCATGGTGATAGGGCCGAGGCAGAGGCAATTAAGGGTGATCAGGCTAAGAGGGGAGGGCAGTTGGGGGTGATCAGGCTGGTGTGGGGGAGGGCATTTGGGGATGAGAAGGCCAGCAGGCAGAGTGGTTAGAGGCCATCAGGCAGACAGGCAGGTGAGTAGTTAGGAACCAGCAGTCTTGGATTTCCAGAGGGATGCCCCCCTGAGGGGTCCCAGATTGGAAAGGGTACAGGCTGGGCTGAAGGACACTTTCACACCCATCCCCATGCACAAATTTCATGCACCTGGCCACTAGTTTGTTATAAAAACATAACAAATCCCAAACGTGTCTTTTTAGTAATGAAATATAATAACAAAATAACACTGGAGCTAAAAATGTTTACTATTCACTCAGGAATAAACATGTTACAATTTAGTAGTCCATAGGATTTGGTAGCCAAGTTTTAAGGGAAAATGAGTTTATGAAAAAAGGAGTGATTCATATTTTAAGGGTCTAAAAAAAATTTCAGTTTTATGTAGATAATTTAAGCTTGGTTCAGTGGAAATATTAGTTTGATTACAACTAAAATTCTCAAACATTTCTCATAAAAATTAATTGCTCCCTCTGGTATCATGGTGTAGAGGAATAGTTATTTAATTCCAGGGACTTGTTGAAAGAAGGAACTGGGAATTGAAAAAGGGATATTCATTCACACACAAACTGTGCAGCGGGTTATTTTTCTGAAGTTTGAAATCCATAAAAATCACTTCGGTGGGGAGATGGGGGGCATTAATGAAGCATCTGACATTTCTGTCTTGGTTCTGAAATATACTAAAGTGTACACTTCTGAAGTAACGATTCAATTCTTGCTCTCCCTTTGGACAATAGAAGCTTAGCAATTAAATGAGTCATTAAACTAACAGATCAACTGTATTGTAGGTATTACTGTGATTGGTTAATCGTTTATTTATTTTTAAGGTGGGAACATTTACTTAGAGTATTAAAACTGTAACAAACAGTAAGTTGTCACTTATCTTCTTAAGAAGTGAACTGTTCTAGGTAAGTGAATTCTTGTAACATTAAGAGCTGAAGCATCTAAAAATGTATTGAAATTGAATAATCTCCTGACTTTTTAACCAGAATATAGTCCTTTTTTTGGTGACTTTTCATTGTCATTCTGAACGTTGGTGGCTCTGCTAGCCTCCACGGGTGGTATTTTTAGGATCTGCTGAAGTGCATAGAACAGTTCGTCTCTCACCAGGTCACCTAGGCTGCTAGTCTTTGCTGAGTTCTTGTGTTTTTTTTTCCTAAGCTGATTTTGTCTTCACTCTCTATTGGCTATCATTTCCGGGTTTGGTCAGAATTCTAGCTGTAGAAATTCCATACTTTTATATTTGCTGCATTTAATCTGCTTTGCCTGAGAAACCACATTAAATTGATTAGCGTTAGGATTATCAGAGAAATTAAAGTATGAAGAAACAGCCAAAACCGGTTTGGCTCAGTGGTAGAGCATCGGTCTGCAGACTGAAAGGTCCCAGGTTCGATTCCGGTCAAGGGCATGTACATTGGTTGCGGGCACATCCCCGGTAGGGGGTGTGCAAGAGGCAGCTGGTCGATGTCTCTCTCTCATCGACGTTTCTAGCTCTCTATTTCTCTCCCTTCCTCTCTATAAAAAAATTAATAAAATATATACTTTTTTAAAAAAGTATGAAGAAACATTTTAGTAAACAGATCCCTAGGTAGGGGAAATACTGGTTTATTTTACAGTTGAGTAAGAATTCTTGGCATGATAATCCACTGGATGCTACTATTAAGAATGATTAGATGGTGTATATGAATGTTTTATTTCCTGTGTAAAGTTGTGTTTTGTTTTCTTTTTTGGCCTATGCTCTTGTGTCCAGTGAGCTCCTAGTTGCCAGGTGAAGTGGGTAGTTTTTAGGGTGTATCTTACTGGCCTTTCTTGCATTTGTTACTCCTTCCTCCTTTAGTCTATTCTACGACCTCTGAGGTCATTTTTTTCTTAGTGACGCAGCTGCCACAGCTGCCTCGGGCTCCTTGATAAAGCTTTCCTGCCCTGTAATCTGGACACCACAGCTGCAGCGCCCTCTGCTGCCTGCACTGAAACCTTCACCTTGTCGTGTCCAGGGCCCTGTCTGTGCTTCAGTTGCCAGATAAAACCATACTCATTGCTGGAGGCCTTCCTAAGGGGAAGGAGCTTGAATTTGGATGATTGGAAATGTTTCAATGTTTTATAAAGCCCCGGAGACCCAGATGTGATTATATTTGGAGATTTTATTGTCTATCCTTGTTATTTCACTAGCACTTAATAGACTGACTTTGAAAATTTAGCAAAAGTTCCAGCTGATTTTGGAAAGCAAACGATATGGCAAAGCAAGCTAATAGAACCTCAAAACATATCACGTCTGGAATGATCTGGAGCATGCTTCTTCCAGGTGGTTCACTGACTTGTAAAGTGTCTGGCCTTTGGTACGTGAAGCCTTTTATATAGAAGTGGTTTTGTCTTTTGCGCTTGGTAGACTTAGTAGATATATGAGGCCGAGTTTTTTTCTTTAAAAACATTTTCTTTAAATTCAGACATAATCTCTAGTCTCAGTTCTTACCAGGCACATACCTTTTATTTTATTTTTTAAAAATACATTTTTATTGATTTTTCACAGAGAGGAAGGGAGAGGGACAGACAGCTAGAAACATCAATGAGAGAGAATCATCTACCAGCCGCCTTCTGCACACCCCCCACTGGGGATGTACCCGCAACCAATGCACATGCCCCTGACTGGAATCGAACCTGGGACCCCTCAGTCCGCAGGTCGACGCTCTATCCACTGTGCCAAACTGGTTTCGGCAAGGCACATACCTTTTAGCATTCAGTATTTGAACTTAACCTCAGTGCAATAAATAGTTCAGATGTTAATATTAATATAGGAAAAAATAACTTTTTTTCAGAACAGTGATAGTTTTCTGGCTATAATTATTTAATACTTTAACTCTGATTTCAGTAATGATGAATCATCATTCAACTAGATGTGGTAATAAATCTTTTTTTTCCCCCCAGCTGAAAATGTGTATCTAAAATGCAAGCTCAGCTTAGCAGAAATCTTTGGCCTGCCTTGCCCTGTCGTCTAAAATCGGATCATGAAGGTATTGGAAAAAAATTACTTCTGGATGTTGCTCCCATTGCTTCATTTGATAGCAAATGCTGCGGAACATGAAGGGGTAGCGAAACACGCCATCAAGTTACACCGCGGCAAAGGGGCAGCCACCACGCAGAGGAAGCAGTGGCTCCTAGACAGCTGCAGAAAGCTCTCCGGGCTTCTTCGCCAGAAGACCGTGGTTCTCAACAAGCTGAAAAACGCAATCAGAGCGGTGGAGAAAGACGCGGGCCTGTCTGACGAAGAGAAGCTGTTCCAGGTGCACACATTTGAAATCTTTCAAAAAGAGCTGAATGAAAGTGAAAATTCCGTCTTTCAGGCCATCTATGGGCTCCAAAGAGCCCTGCAGGGAGATTACAAAGACGTGGTGAACATGAAAGAGAGCAGCCGGCAGCGCCTGGAGGCCTTGAGAGAGGCTGCCATAAAGGTTAGCCATCTCACTCATTTACCCAAAGAGCCATTCACACTCTGAGCTGGGAAGTAGAGGGGAAGGGGAAATGCAGAGTGGGCTGAAGCTTCAGTGGGGGTCGTCTGTTAGGGGCACCTGTTCATGATAATCACACCCAGAGAAAATCCCTTTTGCATAATGTCTTAGCGTAGTTACATTTCATCACTTCTAGAAGGAGTCATTCTCATGCTTTTTTAATATTGTGAAATACTTGGGTTATTAAAATACTTACTCAAGTTATCCCATAAACTGATGTGGAAATAAATGTATTTGTAACTGCAGTCAACATTTTGAGTTTCTAACAAGAATTCCTTTCTGTGTGAAGGTTGGCTTTCTTTAAGGATTTTAAAAGGATACTTTCAAAATGAGAAGATACCATTACTGTAACAGATATGATATTTATTATGTAATTTCTTATAGCCATCATTTAAGCCAAACTTAAAATATGTAAAATATAATTTCATCTTCATAGAAAGGCTATAGTATTATTACATAGCTTAAAAAGTAGAGAAGATACAGGTTTATTAAACTTTCTTTACCAAAGTTTGGCATTTTGGGTAAAAATACAGTCAAATGCCACATAACAGTGTTCCCTTCAGTGATGGACTGAATATATATGATTGTGGTCCTTGACTTTCCCTAATTGACAGGAGCTAGAATTATACATTTATGAGCAGGAATATTGGATAGAGTGTGTTGGTGTGGTTGGATCAGGTACCTACATCGAAGTGAATTTCTGGTTTATTTTTTAATAAACCCCATTTTTGTTTCTTACAAATGAATAGGAAGAGACAGAATATGTGGAACTTCTGGCAGCAGAAAAACATCAAGTTGAAGCCCTTAAAAATATGCAACATCAAAACAAAAGTTTATCCATGCTTGATGAAATTCTTGAAGATGTAAGAAAGGCAGCTGATCGTTTAGAGGAGGAAATAGAAGAACATGCTTTTGATGACAATAAATCAGTAAGTAACATTCCAGAAAATGTTCTTCTTTGCCTGCTGAGACTGAGCTACTTCCTGAAAGATGTGTTGTTGAAATGGTTTGCATGTATATGTTTAGTGTAGGTTGAAAACAAAGAAAACTAAAATATAAAAATAATTTGGCTTGGTGCTGCAGAGGTATACTAGTTATCCTTTATTTCCTCATGTTTTGTCAGTCCCCCCTCAATGGCTCATCTTTGTTTCCCAGTTGTGCTCTCAGGAGGATTGGGACTGGTTTCAAGGAGGCTTGCTCTGGATAGTTTGGTTTCAATGTTGATTGGCCACGGGAGCAATAAACTCCTTATAGGAAATGATCTCCATATCAAAAGCAAGATTTTAGACTGCTCACTGTTACATGTTCAGGATTCTTTGGGAGAATAAATGAGATTAGTGTTGAAAATTGTGAGTCTTGCCGAGACCGTTTGGCTCAATGGATAGAGCGTCGGCTTGGGGACGGAAGGGTCGCGGGTTTGATTCCGGTCAAGGGCATGTACCTTGGTTGCTGACATATCCCCAGTAGGGGATGTGCAATAGGCAGCTGATCGATGACTCTCTCTCCTCTATGTTTCTAACTCTCTATCTCTCTCCCTTCCTCTCTGTACAAAATCAATAAAATATATTTTAAAAAAAAAGAAAGAAAATTGTGAGTCTTGGAATGGACTCAGAAATGGGTTAGGTAATTAAAAAAAAAAAAGTACACATAAAAACCTAACAAATTAGAACAAGATCAGAGGAAAAAGGTGGCAGAATGAAAATTGAGTGAAAGGAATGGGATGGAGGAGAACTCATAAGCATTTTAAGGGCTATCAAATTTTGAAAGAATATGCCCTTGAAAGTAAAACACTCGTTCCCTCTAATCACTGCTCCCTAAACACTTCTGTATTCCAAGGGCATCGGGGTTTTTCCCCCACCAAACAGTTCTCAAGTTCTGACTCTACCTGGGTTTAGTATAAACTCCACAGATAAGGGCTCAGTCCAAGACTGTCTCCTCAATGTAAGACACCAAGCCCAAGCCACCTTGGAGGATCCCACAGCCCTTCTCCATGAGTTCCATACTTTGCTAGAGCAGCTCACAGAACTCAGGAAAGCAGTTTACTTACTATATAGATTGCCAGTTAAAGGATACAACTCAGGAAGAGCCAGACAGAAGAGGTTCATGGGACAAGGTGTGAGGAAAGAGTATAGCGTTCTCCTGCCCTCTGAACCTCGTTCTTGAAGGATTTTCATGGACGTTTCATTATATAAGTTTGTGATTAATTCAGTCTCCAGACCCTCTCCCCTCTTGGAGGTCTGGATAGGGCTGAAAGGTCAACCCTCTCATCGTATGCTCAGTTCCTCGGATGACCAGCCCAGTCCTGTGGTTACCTAAGGGCTTTCCAAATAGCACCTCACAAATATAAACTCGTGTAAGGTTGCTAGGGCTTGTGCTTAATAATTAGATACTTCTTTCACCTTGCTCGGGAGCTATTTTAGGAACCAAGGACACAACTATAACAAGAGATGTTTCCATCACTCATTATCACTGAGAGAATTATATGTGTTTGCGGAGCTATAAGCCAAGAAAGGGGATGAAGACTTATGGAACAGGCAAAAGTAGGTCTACAGTTCATATGGCAAAAGTCATGCAGGCTATGATTATGATAATACAAGAATAAACTCATGTACTCACAACTGTAAACCTACTTTTGCCTACCCCTGTATTTTTACACATCACAATGTCACCTGCAGAATTCGGTAAAGTAGATATTTAGAAGTAATAGAAATCTTAAACACTTCCATCCTTAAAATCACTTTTTGTAATTGAAAATTTTCAAGTTAATGCTAATGAACATTTATTGATCTTCACACTTGACAAAATACTAAAAACATAACTATTATTCTTCTGTGTAGAATTTATTCTCTAGATATTGAACTTGAAAACACTTTATTGATTTTTATTACATAATATTGGTTAATCTTACAGGTCAAAGGGGTCAATTTTGAGGCAGTGCTGAGGGTGGAGGAAGAAGAGGCCAACTCCAAGCAAAATCGCACAAAACAGGAAGTGGAGGATGACTTAGGTCTTAGCATGCTGATTGACTCCCAGAACAACCAGTATATTTTGACCAAGCCCAGAGATTCAACAATCCCACGTGCCGATCACCACTTCATAAAGGTAGTCTGTCTGTCTGCTTGCCCTCCTCTCAAAATTGTGTGCTGGGCTTAATTTCCACAACTCCCCTCCCAGCTCCTGGTATATATGTCAAATAAGATCGAGCTCTATTTTCTGAGCATTATATTAGTGTATGCAGTCTTCTTCCTAGTAGAGAGAGCCTACTAGAATTCCCTACATTTTCTGTGATTTAAAACATTTACTTTTAACTTTTTATCTGCCCCCAAAAGAATGAAGTATTTTATTGTAAATGTTTAAAATGAAAATTAATTCTGTTTTGGAGAGTTTGGAAGACTTTTTGAATTATATAATGGGATTAAAGCTTCAGCTATCTAAAACCGATATTCACTAAAATAGAACATTCTTATGAAGCAGAGTTTTGGCTAATAATCGCATATGGCTTTCTTTGGACTGGGAGTGGGGTTGCAGTGTGAGAACTGTCTCCCCTACCCGTGACTGGCATTCCAGACTGAGTTAGGTACAGACCTCTGAACTCTAGGGAAACCATTCGAGAATATAGAATTATGTAAAGGCTTGAAGTTGATGATATCATGGTTCAAGATCACTGTTTGGGTTTGGACAGAAATAGGGAATAGGTATGAGTGACATGGTTCAGCCTGCTCAGGGAAGGCTGGCAGGGAACTGTCAGGTCTCGAGCAGAGCTCCCCGACACAGGAAAAGAAACCCAGGCAAATTACCTACTCTTAGAGATGGTGTCAACACAGACAGGCTGAGAGGAAGATCGGGGCTACTGTGAGGGGCAGACCCCTATATAAACAGACTTGAATCATTAGATAAAATTCAGCAGATGTATTGCTTTCTTTGGTTGTGGCTGGAATAGCAGCTGGGAAGGCTGAGTCTGCAAAATGAACACATTAGTGTCCTCTAAATGGGTGCGGTCTCCACTATAAGTTACTCTTGAAGGTAATACATAATTTCTGGGGAAATATTTTGAGACTATAACTATTCTGCTCCTTGTCAAACTTTCACCAGTAGTTGTAGCACCGACTGATGATTCTTGCCTAAGTCAGTTTATGTTAATTGACATAATAACATCACATTTACGACTGTGATGGTTATATTGACTTTATGTGGTGGGAAAACCAATGGAGAAGGTAAGTAGTTAAACTAGGACACCAGCTCTGAAGATTTCCCAGATGAGAAAACTAAATAGAGCGCTAGTGCTCCGAATTCTTAGAATACTATTACAGGATTTAGGCAAAACAGACAAATTTTGCTATAATTGTTAAACCATTAGGAGTTAATGTCGTCTATTCCGAGAATAGATTCTGCATGTTTTCAACTTCTCGTAGTACACTGTAGTAGAAAAAAATTTCTTCCCTTAGTTTCATCATCTGTCCTTTATTCTCACTCAGTGAAATCATGATACTATCCCAGCCTACTTTCTCCATTAACCAGCCTTTCTTGCCAACTATTATCTTAAATTTTTGTATTTCTTGTTTATTCTTGCATTAGGACATTGTTACCATAGGAATGTTGTCTTTACCCTGTGGCTGGCTATGCACAACAATAGGATTGCCTACAATGTTTGGCTATATTATTTGTGGTGTTCTTCTGGGACCTTCAGGACTAAATAGTATTAAGGTAAGAACACAATTTAACCATTGCAGTGTTTGTTTAACAGTCCAAAAGAAACATCCATGAAAACATTCATAAAAAGTTTTAAACTTGAATTAATGAAGATAACAATTTCTTACAAATCATAGTAAAGAAGATGCCCTTTAAAGTTTCATAAGAAAGCTCTATACCATAAGAAAATAATTTTGTTCGTTAAGGAAAGGGTGAATTGACTAGCGAAAATAACCCTGATCATGTCTTTAAATTATATTAGTTCTAAAGATTCTATTTCTAGTAGTTGATGGACTAGATTATTCAGAGATTAAAAGCAACTAAAAATGTAAGATTAAATGTATTTTTTAAAATTCTTAGTACATTGAAAACTGATAAAGTAGTGAGGAATTATTAATCATAAATGTAAGGTATTGTGAGAACCCCAAGAGAGTGAGGCACTGAAGTTGCTTTTGCTAGAGGCTGTTTGCTGAACAAATTGAAGTGAGCATCATCTTACATTGACAGCATTTTTTATAGTAAGGAGGTTCCCAGCATTTTGGGGGTTTCAAAATTTCTCACTTAAATACGCACAATTTGGACAAAATGGAAAGAGTGCACCAAGGATAGGTGCTATGAGCCCACACAGAAGGAACAATATAGGACAGTGAAAAATAGGCAACAGAATTTGCAGACCTCACTGATGCTTCCCAGTTGGACAGAATAGGAGTAGGCAAATGGGGGAGAGTTGTGGAATGCTCCACTTGCAGCCTCAGTTCCTCGCTGCTGATTAACATGTGTATCGGGTCAAAAGGAGCTCTGTGATTTACTCAAGACTGGAAAACAGCAGAAGAGGGTGCAAAGAAATCACACCAGACTAATTATTTTTACTTATTTACTTATTTTAATATATTTTTATTGATTTCAGAGAGGAAGGGAGAAGGAGAGAGAGATAGAAACATCAATGAGAGAGAATCATTTATCGGCTGCCTCCTGCACCACCCCGTCCCCCTCTTCACTGGGCATTGAGCCTGAAACCCAGGCATGTGCCCTTGGCTGGAGTCGAACCTGGGATCCTTCAGTCTGCAGGCTGACTCTCTATCCACTGAGCCAAGCTGGCTAGGGTTATTATAATTCTTAATAAATCAGCTATACCATGGAAAAATAATGTAATTACAGTAGTCCAAGATAAAAATGCAAGAGCACACGAGTCAAAAATGGAAGGTGGGTAAGAGAAAGTATAATTACTAAAATAGGTATCTTTTCCTAGGAGGAAGTTGATAAGCTTTCATTTATTAAGTTGAGAAGTACAGGTTTAAGTATGTTACTTTGAAGTTGTAGGTTACAGCCTAATTTTTAAAAGGGAAGAAAATAAAAAAATTAAAAATAGCAGTCAGGAAACATAAAAATCAGAAGACATGAAAGAAGTAAGAAAAGTATCTGTTTTAACAATAAATGTAAATAGAATAAACTTTCCTATTAAAAGATATAGGTCTGCAGATAATATGGAGGAGAGTACAATAAAGATTAAGTCAAAATAAAGTGCTGGCGAGGATGCGGAGGAAAAGGAACCCTCGTGCACTGCTGATGGGAATGCAGACTGGTGTAGCCACTGTGGAGAACAGTATGGAATTTCCTCAAAAGACTAAAAGTGGAATGCCCATTTGATCCCACTAATAGGAATATATCCCAAGAAACTAGAAACATCAATAAAAAAGGATATATATATACCTTTATGTTCATAGCAGCACAATTTACCATAGCTAAGATTTGGAAACAGCCTAAGTGGCCATCAGCAGGTGATAGGGTTAAAAAACGGGTACATCTATACAACAAAATAATATGCTGCTGTAAAAAAATAATAATACCCTTTGCAATAGCATGGATGGAACTGGAAAGCATTATGCTAAGCAAAATAAGCCAGTCAGAGAAAAATAAATATCACATAATCTCACTCATTTGTGGAATACAATGAACAACATAAACTGATGAACAAAAACAGAACCAGAGACAGGGAAGCATCGATCAGACAGTCGAACCTCAGAGAGAAGGTAGGGGAGGGTGGAGGTAAGGGGGAGAGATCAACCAAACGACTTGTATGCATGCATATAAACCTAACCAATGGACACAGACACCATGGGGATGAGGGCATGAGTGGGGGGTTGGGGAGGACAATGTGGGGATAAGGACACATATGTAATACCTTAATCAATAAAGAAAAAACAACTAAGAAATAAAAATTGAAAGGAGGAGAGATGCCAATAAAGAGGGCAGGATTCATAATGTTATAGCTGATTGAGTAAGTGTACTGGGATCAGGACAGCATACAGATACTTGAGAGCCTGTACTTTATTATAAGATGTTCAGGGAACATTTAAAAAAATGGAACAATGAAAATCTCAAATGTAAATACATAATACAAATAGTACCAAATATAGTAATATAAACATTATCTACTATAGTGTAATAATATTAAAAATAAATAGCAAATGAAGGACCAAAACAAATATAGAACCTAAGAACACTGTATATTAAAACCTGTGGGATGTGCTGAAACTGGTTTGGCTCAGTGGATAGAGCATCGGCCTGTGGACTGAAGGGTCCCAGGTTCGATTCCAGTCAAGACCATGTACCTTGATTGCGGGCACATCCCCAGTGCAGGGTGTGCAAGAAGCAGTTGATTGATGTTTCTAATTCTCTATCTCTCTCCCTTCCTCTCTGTAAAAAATCACTAAAATATATATATTTTTAAAAACCTGTGGGATGTGACCAAATGTGGTACTCAGGAAAAAATTCATACACTTAGTCATGCTGAAACCCAAATGAGAGTGAACCACTCTAAATTACTTCATCCTGAAACTCAGGTTTAATGTCTCCCCATCCCCCAGAAAAAGCTAAAGAAAGGAACTAATGAAGATAACAGATTACCAGTTAATGAACTTTAAAACAGGTGAATTCATGAGCTAGTTCTTAAAAATAAAACAATTCCTCCAGGTAATTAAGAAAAAAAGAAAAAACCCCCAATATAATCTGGAAGTCCAGGTTATCTCAGATAGAGGAAATTCAAAGAATTACTTGTTTTAAAAATATATTTATTTGGGCATAGTCCCTATGTTAGTATAAGATGTTCTGGTAAATATACTTAATGTGTTAAATATATTAAATTCCATGTTTTGAAAATTTTCTTGTTTTTTAGTCTATTGTGCAAGTGGAGACATTAGGAGAATTTGGTGTGTTTTTCACTCTTTTTCTTGTTGGCTTAGAATTTTCCCCAGAAAAGCTGAGAAAGGTAAGGATTTATCAATCCATGTTATTGCCCCCAATTTAACATAATATGGTTTTGTTTATTTACTATTAACATTTGTTCATGACTTAGCTATCATTTTGCTGACCTCTTTTCCCATGTGTCTCCTTAGTTCATCCTGTTATTCTTTCACCTTGTTTTCTTTGGCCTCATTTTTTTCTATTAAAAACTCCATTTGTCCATTTTCTGATTCTGGTATCACACAGAACAGTTGCACTGTCCTAAATATCCTCTGTATTCCACCTCTACATCTATCCTCCCCGCTAATATCTAGCAACTGAGCATGTGACTTTGGGCAGTGTTCTTGTGTCTTATGAGCTGGGGTCTGTAATGTCCCTTCAGCTCTGACATGGATCCTCACTTACCAGTCCCCAAGTCCCCCGTGTGCTACCCCTGAAACCTGACATTCCCCAGGAAGGCATCCTATCCCTTTCTAGGCCCCTGGGCTCGGATTGCAGAAGATTGATATCTTCTTAATCAACTACATTATTAATTAACACATTTTTTTTTTTTATTTCTCAGATATAAGTAACTGGCAAAATGTTAGAGCATCTGAAGTGACTAGTGTAGTCGTTCTCAATTGATAGTGCTTCTGCTGTGTGAGTTGATTGCCCAGGTGTTCCTGTAATGGTAGAAAATTACTGAATAGGGTTTTCTAAATAATAATTGCTGGAAGGGCCCTCTGAGATCTTCGGTGAAATCTCTTAAAGGTCTGACTAGAAACTATTCAAAAACATGGAAGTCTGAAAATGACTTATTCCTTGTTGCTGAGGAAAGCTATTGTCTTTTTGTTCTACCCACTGGTACCATTGGTTGAATAATTTATTAGTAAGTCATCATCCATTGCCTTACTTCATTCTTCTAACTTCACTTAAACTGTTCTCTTACTTTATATCATAACTAGTGGCCCGGTGCACAAAATTCATGCATGGGGAGGTCCCTCAGCCCGGCCTGCACCCTCTCCAATCTCGGAACCTTCAGGGGATGTCCAACTGCTGGTTTAGGCCCACTGCCTGTGGAATTGGGCCTAAATGGGCAGTCGGACATCCCTCTCGCAATCTGGGACCGCTGGCTCCTAACTGCTTATCTGCCTGATTGCCCCTAACCACTCTGCCTGCCGGCCTTCTCATCCCCAACTGCCCCCTCTTGCCAGCCTGCTCTCCCCTAACTGCCCCTCCACCCCCGTCAGCCTGATCGCCCCCAACTGCCCTCCCCTCTTGGCCTAATCACCCCTAACCACCTCTGCCTCAGCCCTGCCACCATGGCTTTGTCTGGAAGGTCTCCTGGTCTAATAAGCATATTACCCTTTTATTAGTATAGATAGTTCACCAGCTTTCATCTTTAAATAGATTATAAAATAATGGCGGCAAGAGTTGTATTTTCTTCTCCTTTATTTCTTATTTGTTCTCTCAACAAACACTTCTTGGGTGTGATGTTCCAGACCTTTGGTAGCTTCTGAGTGTAAGGCATTGTATACAGTCAACATGATCCCTGTCCTTTGGTGAGTTGTGAACAGAAGTCTTGGGAAAAGAAAGAGGAAGAAGAACTGGAGAGGGCAGTTTAGGCTGATGTGTGCATCTGGGTGTGTGGTCCCGAAGCACAGGGAGCAGGGTCTTGGCTGAGAGGGTTCTTGTTAGTGCTCTTAGACTCTGATGTCCGAGGAGTGGCCTGGGGCTCTTGCTGACCTAGAGCTACAGATGTGGGCAGCCTGAGGGCCTGCATTTCTGTGAGGGCAGGGTGCCATGTCGGACAGGAAGTTCCTGAAGGATGTTCCCTTGGGTATTTTCTGTCGTTCCCTTCATACCTTGTTCCTCAGGCTAAATAGATCCCAACTTAGACCAAGGTGTAGCAAGACACCGGACAATAAAGTCAAAGGTTCGCTCTGGACCTCAGAAATTATTTCGTCTCACTTTTCTCTACAGATGTGGAAACTAAAGAAGAGAGATTATTACCTATTTGAGGTGTACAGCCAGTTAGCGACAGGTTCAAGCCTGAACTCCAGGTGTCCTGTGTGGGCAGGAATACTCTAACTGAGGGCTAACACTACGTACAGAAGGGGCTACCTAATACCTGTGAACCCTACAATCCAACATACTCAGCCTCCTTAGTTGCTGCAGCTGGCTGTGTGGGACTGCTCTGGTCCTTCATTGCTCCTTAGCTGTAATATACATGAAGAGGAAGAATGATTTGGAAGAGATTTGTTTTATGATAACATCGCTGCCAAATATAAAAAAGTCAAGAACATGAAATATGAACTTTTGAGGAACAGCCATTGTGAGGGTAACTTGTGCCTTTCTGGAGGAGAGAGTGGGGCCTGGGGGACCAAGATCACACAGTAGGAGATAGATGTGGCTCTGCATGGAGGGCTGAGCACTCAATCCAGTGAGCATTCAGTTCAGTTTCCTCTTTTGGTCTCCTCCAGTTGGGACTTTATGGAGTTGGGAGGCTCCTGTAATTGGTTTCCTGAGCAGATGGACCAGCAGACTGGCAGCCGGTCATGGCTGTGATGAGGGCCAGCGTTGGCTTCTGCTTGTTTGGCCACAGCAGGAAATCAAAGAAAATGTCGTTGGTTTTGCAAGAAGTATTGCTTTGACCACGAACCAGAGCAGGGGAAGGGAAATCTCACATGCTCTAGGGCAGCGTTTTTCAACCGCTGTTCCGTGGCACACTAGAGATGTTGCCTGGGTGTGCCGTAGGTGCAGACAAGACAAGAATTTTATAATTTTTCACTATTTTGTTTACTTAATATTTCATAATAAAGTAATTATAAAATACTTTCTTTGTGTTTATTTGATTCCTATTCAAGAGAATTACTTTATATATAGTCAATATAGGCACAGAGTTAAATTTTTTAACATTTTCTAATGGTGGTGTGCCTCGTGATTTTTTTCATGAAACAAGTGTGCCTTTGCCCAAAAAAGGTTGAAAAACACTGCTCTAGGGCACCCAAAGGGGAGTAGATGTGTTGAGACACAGACGAGGTTGGCCAGCTGGTGGGGCCTCAGCGTTTGCCTTTAACTTCACTGTTCCAGAGCTGTGCTGAGCCATGCCTCTCCTGCCCGTTTTTTTTTTTTTTTTTTTTTTTAATTGATTTTTTTATAGAGAGGAAGAGAGAGGGATAGAGAGTTAGAAACATCGATGAGAGAGAAAAGTTGATCAGCTGCCTCCTTCACACTCCCTACTGGGGATGTGGCCGCAACCAGTGTACATGCCCTTGACCGGAATTGAACTTGGGACCCTTCAGTCCGCAGGCCGACGCTCTGTCCACTGAGCCAAACCAGTCTCGGCCTGCCCGTTCTTCTGGGCATCCATGAGTTTTTTGAGCAGAGGGCCTGGGTGAGGGAATCAGTTTTAATTGGGAGGGTGCTGTGAGGAGAACAAAACAAGTCCTTTAACGTAGACTAGGATGAGTTTTGGGTTAATTTCTTTTGTTAATATGTAATATTCACATTTGTATAAATGTCAGACAATTTTTATTATGTTGTCTCTTCAACTAGATTGAAAATCCCAAAGGGTTAGAATCAAACTTGATTTCTTTCATATTTTCTATTATGTTATGCATACCGAGGTGTCTAATCAATTTGTGTTTGATTATATGCTGCCTGAATTTATGTCCTCACATTGTCTTCCATGGGACCCAGTCAAATGACCTAACCTCTGTGGTCTGGTGTTTTCATCTAGAAATAGGAGAGACAATGATATCTACCTCTGAGATGTGTCCTGAGGATTAAATTATATGCACGCACATATGTATATACACAGAGACATGTTTGTTTAGTTCCTATAACAATTTCTAGACCTGGGGAAGCCTTAAGTTAGTGTTTACTGTCTCTGTTGTGTTAACATTACTATGTTGGATTTGTGCTGAAGTATCTACTGCAGAATTTCAGGCCTGCCCCATTACTGGACAGTATGTATGCACATGCTCGGCATAATGCTAGTCAAGAGATGGTCTATCGTCACTAAAATGTATAAATAAATGTGTTCTCTTTAAGGTATGGAAGATATCCTTACAAGGACCATGTTATATGACACTATTAATGATTGCATTTGGCTTACTATGGGGACACCTTTTACAGATCAGACCCACTCAGAGCGTTTTCATTTCTACTTGTTTGTCTTTATCAAGCACACCCTTAGTATCCAGATTCCTCGTGGGCAGTGCCCGGGGTGAAAAAGAAGGTAGGTGATGATCTCTTTTAAATATGTGTTGAAGCAGTACATATTTAATTCACTCCGAAGGTCTGTTAGAAAAAAATTACAACTCGTATTCTCTCCTTGGGGTTTTCCTAATAGTTATGGACATTCCCTTAGGAATTATTGTCCCTGTAATTTCAGCTTCTCCAATCCTCCATTTGATTAAGAAAAATGTCTTTTAAGGAACTATTTGGCATTGAAATTGGGACTCAAAAGAACTGTTGGCCCAGAAAGGAACTCACTACAGACCGATTCATTTGCCTCTCAGCATAACCATTATGGCTTGTCTCAATTTAGGTTCTTACAAGGGTATTTCATGGATCACATGATCTCACACATCTAGAGGAAATAATGAACAACATAAACCAGAGAAAGAAAAACAGCGATCAGACTCTCAAACCTCAGAGGGAAAGTAAGGGAGGATGGGGGTAAGGGGAAGAGATCAACCAAAGGACTTGTGTGCATACATAAGGGCCTAGCCAGTGGCCATGGACAACGAGGGTTGGGAGGGGGGGCATATCTAGGAAGGGGTTTGGGATGGGAATGTGGAATAAGGACAATTATGTGAGACCATAATCAATAAAATAAAATAAAAATGGGACATAAATCAATAAAATAAAATAAAATAAAACAGTTCCTATTCTTTCAAGAAAAAAAAAGAAAGAAAGAAAAGAAAAGAAAAATGTCTTTTTATATGCTCACAAATTGAGAATAGTTTGAGGAGCATTTTAAGAGAGAGGAATCTACATTGAACAATATACTGTGAAATTGGTGAGTTAAAGGGTTAGTGTGCTGCACCCAACCTGAAATCCCCCAGCTCCAGAATTCTAATTCACTGTGCTTATTGACTACACTACTGGTGTTACATGCAACCTAAAAAACAATGTGATTGATGTATTGTACGTTGCTTTGATTCTGGCAAGTGTTGGGAATTGATGTACGTTTGATACCTTCTTCTATAAAATATATGAGGTACTTTGGTAATTAAAGGTACTTTCACCTCTTATACTTTGGTGTTAGTATCATCTGTGTGTATGATAGCTCGCATCTCAAAATCATTGTTGTGTATAGTGAAGTCAGACCTGGTAGGACACTTAGGAATGAACGTTCTGAGGTGTGGTTTGGTGGCACTGTCGTGCAGTTAAACTTTTTCATGCCCCGGGCTTCTAGTATACTATAATACCAGTACCTATGAAGACATCACTGGCTAGAAAAGACAATTAACAAACTCAATTATCAGAATATGAATTCTCTTTATTTGTGGAAAAATCTAATAAAGTCTTTGAAATAATCATGTTTGAAACATTCAACCACAAATGAAAAAACACCATTTTTTTTAATCTTTTTTTTTTTTTTTTTTTTAAGAAAACATAGAAAGTTCCAAAGCTAAGAGCTGTTGGTTGAAAATGGAGACGTTTTGAGGCCTATGTGAAGAATTGCATTCCTCAAAGCTGCATCATTTTCTCTCCAGAGAAGTTGTATAGTCCCTTAAGCCAGTGCTGGTTACTCCTTTTCTATTCCGTCCACATGAGTCAGTATTTCTATACCAAATCTGCATTATTCTCAAAGGGAAGGGATCTTCAGTGTGGTGGTGATGGTGAGTTTAAAGGAAAGTGACCCATGCCACCAGGCTCTGCTCAGCACATGTGACCAGAAAAGGATGGGGCCAGGTCTCTCTTGAATAGCTTAGGGAAGAAATAAAGATCAGAGGTGGAGACTGCTGCTGCATGTGTTTCTGGGTCACAGTGAAATTGGTATGATTATCCAGGCCTATCATATTATTTGCCATGCCATCTTGTCATAATGTCATTTTTCTGTAATTTTATAATTAAGCAGTAACATGGAAATATTTGGGAGATTTTATTTACAAAATTTTTTAATCTTAAAAATGTTACAGTGTTTGTTCTCAAAGAAATTTTGAAGTTTGTATTCTCATTTAAAGGATCAAAATTATTTTAATTATTCTGGAAATATGCATGATGACTTTATTTTGATTTGGGACAATATAAAATACTGGAAAGATTTGCTTTTCATGTTTTGTTTTCGTAAACAGGTGACCTTGACTATAGTGCTGTGTTGCTTGGAATGCTGGTGATGCAGGATGTACAGCTGGGGTTATTCATAGCTGTCATGCCAACTCTTATCCAAGCAGGAGCCAGTACATACTCTAGGTACATTTTTATATTATTTTATTTCATGGTTTGTTTTTCTGGTTTCATATCATTTGTTTATAAAAATGTTATTTGATACATTTTCCAGAGATATGTTCGGAGCTTGTATAGCACAGGCTCAGGAATAACTAGACTCAAACCCTTAGCTCTATGTATGGACATTGATTGGGCAAGTTATTTAACCTCACTCTTCCTTAGGTTTTTCATATAGAACGTGAGGATAATATCAGTACTTACTTCATGGAATAGTTAGGATTAAAAGAATTAAAATATAAAATGCCTGGAACATAGTGGTGTGTGTGTATGTGTGTCCACACTATCATTAGTGATTATCATTGTCATTGTCATCTTCATTACCATTTTCCCTGATCCTTCTTCCTAGTCTTCTAATAAAATAATACCAGAACCCAAACTGTACTTGCTTAGGTTCATTTTGGTTGGGAAAGCCAAATGGGAAAAATAAATTTACTCAAAAAGTTGTAGGTTGGATTGCACATATAATGCTATATAATAAAAGCCTAATATGCAAATCAACCAAACAGCAGAAGGACCAATGGAATGATCAGTTGCTATGATGTGCAGATGCTCAATGAAGGAGCTACCCCCAGACCAGCCAAGGCAGGTGCCATCAGGGCCCCCCCCAATTGCCCTGCTGGTCACCCCACAGAGGGAGGTGACAGGCAACGGTGATGGAGTGATTCAGGGGTGGAGCCAGTGCTGACCCCCGATCGCCCAGCCAGTAAGGAGGTGACTGGCACTAGGAAGTGACTGAGGAGGGGGCAGTGCTAGGCCAGCCAAGGTGGGTGCCAGAGGGGGGCGCCACCAGTCACCCCACAGATTGGGCTTGATCGCTGGCCAGGCCTATGGACTTTACCCATGCACAAATTTCGTGCATCGGGCCTCTAGTATATTATAAGAATACCTGCCAGAAAATAAATACACTTGCAAAATATAGGGTGCCCTGTACAATTTAAAGGTACGTTGCATGTGGGTTAGGATTATAAACTTGAATTTGTTTAAGCAAATATACTATATGCATATAAATATTGTGCTTTAAATATTTCCAGAGGATACATTTTTTTACCTCTTACAGTAATGATACTATTGGTAAAAAATTAGTAGACTTTGAAATTTCTATTAGAACGACTTTGAAATGCTAAAATCTTTCTCATTTACTTTATTTCTTCTGTACTAATCTGTATGACTTCACCTAAACCTAATCACTTCCCAAAGGCCCACCTCCAAGTACTGTCACAATGGGGTTCAACATATGAATTTGGAGGGACACAAATATTCAGTCCATAACTCTTTTTGGATTTATCATATTTGGTGTTCACTAAGCTGCTTGAATCTGTAGATTTATGTGTCTTGCCTAATTTAGGAATTTCAGCCATTATTTCCTCACGTAATTTTTTAGTTCCATTTGCTTTCCTCCTTCTGGGACTCCAGTGATTTGTTTGTTTGTTTTTGTCCCACAGTCCTCTGAGACTTTTCCTTTTCAACCCCAGTTTATTTATTTTTTGTTCCGACTGAGTAAATTCTTTTGATTTGTCCTCAAGTTCACTGATTCTATCCTCTATCATCTCCATTCTACTATTTAGCTTATCTAACATTTGGCTTTTCTTTTTCTAACTTCTATTTCTTTTCTGAGATTTTCTTTTTTTCATTTATTTCAAGAAAATGCCTAGTATAGGTATGATAGCTGCTTTAAATTCTTTGTCAGATATTTCTAACAGTGATTCATCTCTATGTTGGAATCTTTATTATCTTTTCTCATTCAAGTTGTGGTGTAGTTTTTTAAATTGTTGTGGTGATAAATGATTTTCAGTTGTATCCTGGACATTTAGTATGAGTATCTAGATCCTATTCATCATACTTTTTAAAACAAGCAGTCCCCCATTGAAGTATGATGTGATATTGTATATGTGTGTTTATTGCCTGCTAGGTTTCACCCAAACTGACAAACCTACCTAATTGCACATGGGTTGTTTAGAATTATTTTGTGTTTTTTAGTATTTACCTTTGCCAGATATTACAGTAAGTTTCAGGAATCCCAGAATGATTAAGATCTCTTTTCTGCTCTCAGATAACTCAGCTATGTTAAAAATGAATGCCTTTTAACTGAGATTTCCAGAGGTCAAGCCTCATGTCCTGGAGCAAGACCTCCCTAGAGTTCTAGCTCAGCCACTTGCCAGCTTTAGAAACTTACCAAACCTCTCTGGGCTTCAGCTTTTCTCACCTATAAAATGGGACAATATGGAAATAGGACCTATCCCTTGCACCGTGTGAGGGCTGCAGGAGAAGATCCCATAAAGCAGTTAGAACAGTCGCTGGAATATGTAACTATTAAAGATCATTTATTGAGGTCATTTTCGCTTGAAGACATTATGCTAAGGGAAAGAAGCCAGTGGCAAAAGGCCATATATTGTAGGATTCAATCTTTATGAAGCATCCAGAATAGGTAAATCCATAGGGACAGAAAGGAGATGATGAGGTGTTGCCAAGCCAGAGGAAGAAGGAATGGGAAGTTAGTGGGTTTCTTTTTTAGGTGGAAATATATTCTAAAATTGATTGTGGTGGTGGTTGCACAACTTTGTGAATATACTAGGAAACCATTGAATTGTACACTTTAAATTGGTAAATTGTATGGAATGAGAATTATATCTCAAAACTATTAAAATTATATGCAATATTATTTAAACTACATAAAGAAAACTTCATGAAGAGACCATAAATATATATATATGTATGTGTGTGTGTGTGTGTGTGTGTGTGTGTGTGTATATATATATATATATATATATATATATATATGAATTACAAATATATAACAAGGTATTAATGAGTAGAGTAATAGAGTATGGTGCTTTTATTGTTTACTATACATACATTCTTATATAATTTGGGACAAACCTCTTTTCCAATTTTGATAACCAGAGAAAATTTACAGTAAAAAATTTAAATAAAGTCAGTTTTAATGTTAATATAAACTTTGCCTCTTTAGGAGGCTTTATTCAGAATTAATCTTTTGTAAATCCTTATCCAAGGAAATGTTCATTGATTTTTAGAGAGAGGGGAGGAGAGAGAAACATCAATGTGAGAAAGGAACATTGATCATTTGCCTCCTATATATGCCCAAACAGTATTGAACCCGAAACCTAGGTCTGTGCCCTGTCTGGGAACTGAACATCCTACCTTTTGTGTATTGGACAGTATTCTAAGCAACTGAGCCACCCTAAAGGGAAGAATTAACTTCTATACCCCAAATATTTAATGGGTAGTGAGCAGAGCACAGAGACTATGATAAAGAATACTTTTTAAAAATAAAGTGATTTGACCTATTAGAATTAAAATCTTGCAAAACCATGGAAGTTCTAGAAAAAAGTATGGATAAATTTATAATATTGAAGATGGGAGGACCTTTCTGCTTCAATAAGAACACAAATTCTAGAAGCCATAAAGGACAAGAAAAGTGATTAGTATTACTGCATTGAAGTTGTTTAAAGACACACATATACATGTAAACACCCACACACATATGTGCACATATACACACACGCTTATGTACATATACTCATTTGGTAAGTGGGCCAAAGACAAATGGGAAAAATATGTTTGTACACATATTAAAGACAGGGTGTTAAGTTCCTTATTTCATCAAAATCTCCTACAAATTAATGAATTTTTTAATAATCCAATTTGAAAAATAGGTAATATAAGCAGCTAATGTAGAAATGAGTAAATAGAAGCTGTTCCCTTCATACAATGGAAAAGGAATGGCTCTTATACCTGTCAGATTGCAAACTTTTAGAAGTGGGATGATGCGCAGGATTGCAGAATGGCACACTTGGGTCTTGGTTGGGGGTGGAAACTGGAGCAGCCTTCCTGTCAGCCCATTTGGCAGTGTTTGTCAAGTGCAGACTGTTGCACATGAATATGCTCCCAGAAGCTCATCATTCAGCACATCAAGAACCTAGAGCAGCTCAGGAGCCTGGCTGAGAAAATGATGACATAGACACGTGATGGAATGCTGACTCAACTTTGAAAAGAGTGAGGCTTGTGCATAGAAACTTTGCCAAAACCTGATAAACAGAGAAATGAAGATGCAGAATAGTACCTTTCTGAGCTGTTTGACTATTTTATCCGCACCATCATGCATTTACTGGACAGTTTGGAGGTAGATCTGGATGCAGGCTCTGGACATGGTGATTGCAGAGCCTGTGCAGCAACTAAGAGCACAGGCCCTGGTGCCAGACACCTGGCACATGACCTGGAGTGATGGCTTGGCCTTTGCCTCCACTTTCTTGTCAATAAGATAGGGATGGTGACAGTGCTTGTCTGGCTGTAGCTGTAATCTCTAAAGTGGCTGCAATCTCTTTATCAGCTAAATAAACTGGACTGAGATTAGAACACTTGTAACATGCCATGCACAGGGGAGGATGGCCGCTCTTAGGGAGTTGCCATGATGTCTGGGGAAGATACTGAATGAATGATGAATAAGTGAATAGTCAACAAGAAAATGACTAGTATAGGTAAGTGCTATGCAAAGAATTATAATGGGGTGATGAGTCCGCAAACAACGATGACCACTTCAGATTGGCCAGGCATCTGAGCAGTTGACTTTGAGGCTGAACTCTGAAAGACACAGCTGAGCCAGTCAGCGAGGAGAACCTGGGGTGGAGTAGGGTGCACTGGTCCCACAGCTGTGGAGAGTATGGCTTGTCAAGAAGCAAAGGCCGGCCGTGGCTGTTTCCTCATTGGATAGTGTCAGCCTCAGACTGAAGGGTCCCAGGTTTGATTCTGGTCAAGGGCACATGCCAGGTTACAGGCTAGATTCCCAGTGGGGGACATGCAGGAGACAGCTAATCAATGATTCTCTCTCATCACTTATGTTTCTATCTCTCTTTCCCTCTCCTTTTTTCTCTGAAACCAATAAGATAATAATAATAATGACTTCCCCAAAAAAGGTCATACCACATGTGATGTCTTGATAAAGTAACAATTGGTGCAATAACTTTGGCTATACAGACATTGAAAAAAAAAAAAAAGAAGAAGAAGAAGAAGAAGCAGCAGCAGCAGCAAAGGCCAGCGTAAGCTATTTTGCAGGTGAGGGAGAGTGGAAGGTACCGCTGGGTGAAGGAGTCTGGGCTCATCTGAATGTCACAGGAGCTTTGGACCTCTGATTGATGTTCCCAGCATGCTGTTTAGGCCTCTGAAGCATGAACGAGATAAGTTAGGAAGGTATCATCACAGTTTTGCAGGGATATTATCATTGATGTAACGTGGAAGGCTGGTCAGGAATTTGAGGTAGACTGTCACAGAGAGCACATTTCTATTCCTGCCCGGGCTGCAAACCCTGGCTTCTCACACTGGCTCCCCTACTTCAAAGACGTGGAGTCATTCACAGTGACTTTGCTTCTTTGCTGCCATCCCAGCTCTGTTCCGATTCCCCTAAGTAATCATGTGCAACTTGAGATTTGTGTCCCGTGCTGCTATTTTAAGCCTGACTGCTATAATGAATTCTCTCATAGTACAATAGTCCCTGCTTATCTGTGGGATACGAGTCAAGACCCTCAGTGGATACCAGAAAGCACAGATAGTGTTGAACCCTATGTATACTATATATTTTTTTATGCATACATATCTTTTTACTTAAAGGGAGTATTTTACAGCTACTGTTTGGCATATCTGAATTGCCAGCATCACTACTCTTGCACTTTGTGATCATAATTAAGTAAAATAAGGGTTACATTGGCTATAATACCCCAACAGTTGATCTCATCACCAAGAAAGCTACTAAGAGACTAACAGGCAAGTAATGTATACTGTGTGGAGACACTGGATAAAGATGATTCATATACCATGCGGGACAGAGCAGGATGGTGAGGGATTTCATTATGCTATTCAGAACAGTGCACATAAACCTTATGAATTATATTGTTGTTTTTGGAATTTTCCATATAATATTTTCAGACCATGGGTGACAGTGGGTAACTGAAACCAATAAAAGGAAGCCACAAATAAGGGGGGCGGGAGGAACTACCAAAATAAAATTTGTATTCTTCCATTGAGACATTCTAAACCGGAAATTTGGACTGAATGGTTTCCTAAATATGGTGGAGGGCCAAGTTTCAGAAAATATGTAGCCCTAGCTCAGTGGGTTAGCTGTTGTCCTGATATGTCAAGATGTTGGGTTCTGCCCTAACCGGTTTGGCTCAGTGGATAGAACGTCGGCCTGCGGACTGAAGGGTCCCCAGTTCGATTCTGGTCAAGGGCATGTATGTACGTTGGTTGTAGGCACATCCCCAGTGGGAGGTGTGCAGGAGGCAGCTGATCAATGTTTCTCTCCCATCGATATTTCTAACTCTGTATTCCTCTCCCTTCCTCTCTATTAAAAAAAAAAATCAATAAAATACATTATATATATATAAAAAAAAAGATGTTGGGTGTTGGGTTCCATCCCTGGGTCAGGGCACATACAAGAATCAACCAATGGAATGCATAAATAACTGGAACAACTAATTTATGTTTCTCTCTTCTTCTATCTCTCTTCCCCTCTCTGAAATCAATAAATAAAAATAAAAAATTAAAAAACCAAAATATGTCTATTATTGTAAATGCTAGAAATTCAAGGTGTCCCAACACATATATACACATGTTGACAGCTGATAACTTAGTGGATATTTCTTTCTTTTCAGCCATACTAAGCTGAAAAACAAAGGAAATGAACAAAGGAAATTAATTTTAAAATGCTATTGGAAGTTTGAAAATGCAGTTGAAATACAAACACTGCCTTTATAATTATTCAAAGTGTGTATACGTTTTTTTGGGACACAGACTGTCCCAAAAAAGGATATACACTTTAACAGCTGATAACTCACTTAATTTTCACTCCTTTCCAGGTCTGATTTGAAATAATAGATAAAGCCAGACTAAGCTTTGAACAAAGAAAATTTATCCACAAGACATTTTTATGGGGATACATAAAATAAAGTTTATGGCAAAAGAAAAAAAAATGGCAACAGTTGATGAATTGAGGGCACACAAATACCAAACTTAAGTATTCTTAATGCTTGTGATTCCATTGTTTCACATTATCAGCAGTGCCTGAAACATAAAGAGTCATCAGTTTGAAAACAGGTGTTGACAAAAAAAATTATTCACTTCTATAGATCACATTAAATTTTGAAAATGAATGTTAGTAAATACTAACTTTATAATTATTCAAAGTGTGCAGACATTTTTGGGGACATCCTATATACAGTAGTGCCTTTTTGTGAGCTTAGGACAGAATCCTTTTCTTTATGACTAAGTAATAGACATAAAATTCAGAATTCTGACTTGGGATAAGAGAATATTTTGCTGAAAGTCACTGGAATTCTTTAGTTACACTTCTCATGTGAGCCTGCAGTGTAATATTACAGGGTGACTATGGCCTTATAAAGAATTTCAAATGGGGGTTATTTTCTGAGAAGGAATTTTATTATCTATCGCTGAGATATACAAGCTGTCAGTTAAGAATCATTACACCCTATAAAATGCATTTGCTTCAAAGAATTGATTGCAAAGTAATCGAGCTTCATTATTGATTCAAATAAAAATGGCTGAGATTAATATGATTGATTGATTTTATCTTAATATTTGGAAATAAAAATGTATGTGATTTGGGTCCTTTATTTTACCACATGCTAGAAAATAGTGGAAGATCATTTTATTGGGTTTTAGAAAAATATGTTTAGAGGTGAAATAACTTGTCTCTTTTTTTTCCTTTCCTAGCATTGTCATGGAAATACTACGAATACTGCTTTTGATTGGTCAGATTCTTTTTTCGCTGGCTGCTGTTTTTCTGTTATGTCTTGTTATAAAGACTTACCTTATAGGACCATATTATCGAAAGCTACATATGGAAAGCAAAGGGAACAAAGAAATCCTTATCTTAGGAATCTCGGCTTTCATCTTTTTAATGTTAACGGTAATTCTCATATTTGTTATTTATGTATCGATAATTTGACTTATATAATCTGGTCACTGAAAGCTTGTGATCAGTTTCTTTTTATTTTAATAATAGTTAAAATATTTAAACACTTATTAGTATTTTTTTTATTTTATACACAGTTATCATGCTACACATCAATATTAATATGAGTTAAACCTATTTAACTGTTTTAACTCATATCTTAAGCATTTTGCTAAAAAAAAAAAAAAAAAAAGTATTTGTGGAGTGCTGCATTAAAAAACAAATCTAACTCAAGCCGGGTGGCTCAGTTACTTGGAGCATCATCCTGTACGCCAGTGTTTCCCAAAGTGTGGTCCACGTGCCCCCAGGGGTATGGGAAGAGTTTGGTGGGGGTACACGTTGCACCGGAGTTTGGTGGGGATATGCACTGCACCGTGCTTAGCTGCGCCTAATTCTGCGTTCTCATAAGTACGAGGGGTACTCAGTGTTACGAAAATTATAGAAGGGGTACACATATGTCAAAAGTTTGGGAAACACTGCTCTGCCAAACACACACACACACACACACATCTAGCCCTGGTTGGTCTGTTAGAGCACCAGCCCGTGCCCCATAGGGTGCGTTCAGGAAGCAACCGATCTCTCTCTTCCTCTCTCTCTCTCTTCCTCTCTGTCTCTCTGTCTCTCTCTCTCACTCTCTTTCTCTCTCTTTCTCTTCATCCCTTCCACTCTCTCAAAAAAAAATCAATATAAACAGTATCTTCAAATGAGAAATAACAAAAAGCAAACCTGTGAGAATGAAAAGCCACCAGTGTCAAATACCTTACTTTGTCTTAAACTATTTTTCTAGGGTTTCTTTTTTCAAAATTTTAATTTCTTTATTGATTAATGTGTTACATATATGTCCTTATTCCCCCACTACCCCTCTTATCCCCCCCCCCACTCGTGCCCTTTTAAACAGCTTTGTACCTGAAAAAAAGATTAACAATTTAAAAACAAATTTTAGTTCTGTTCCATAATGACAAGGTAGTCAACAGAACTTCTTTTGCCATAAATGGGAAAGGTTATAAATAAAAGGCTTATGCCCTGCCCAGTTTGGCTCAGTGGATAGAACGTTGGCCTGTAGACTGAAGGGTCCCAAGTTTGATTCTGGTCAGGGGCATGTACCTTGGTTGTGGTACATGCTCAGTAATTATAGTCAAATGAAGACTATAATTCCAGACAGCTGCTTCCTGCACACCCAGTAGGAGATGTGCAGGAGGCAGCTGATTGATATTTCTAACTATCTCTCTCCTTTCCTCCCTGTTAAAAAAAATCAATAAAATATATATTTTTTAGCCGGGACCGGTTTGGCTCAATGGATAGAGCGTCGGCTTGGGGACTGAAGGGCCCCGGGTTCGATTCCTGTCAAGGGCATGTACCTTGGTTGCGGGCATATCCCCAGTAGGGGGTGTGCAAGAGGCAGCTGATCAATGACTCTCTCTCATTGATGTTTCTAACTATCTCTCTCCCTTCCTCTCTGTACAAAATCAATAAAATATATTTATTTTAAAAAAAAAAAATATATATATATATATATATATTTTTTTAAACAAAAGGTTTGTTTTGGAGGCAGCCTTCTTTTTATTTAAAGGACAAGCATCACATGAGAATGGGGGAAATGCTGGGAGACCCCTCCTAAGTGGCTTAAGTACTAATGGCATCACTAGACTACCAGCATTTACTCTCCTTGGCCTGTATCCCAGAGAAATAAAGACTAGGTTCACACAGAAATGTACATGCTGATGTTTACAGCAACTGCCCAGGTGTCCTTCAGCAGGTGAATGTTTCAACCAGCTATGGTCACTATGGTCCATCCACATCAAGGAAGACTACCCGGTTTTAAAACTATTGGTACATGATTTACCAGAGAATTGTGTTGGATGAGAAAAGCCAACCCCAAAGGTTGCATAATGTATGATTCCATTTGTGTGAGATTTATGACGACAAAATTTCAGAACGGAGGGAAGATTGCTGGTTGCCAGGTATTAAGGAAGGAGTGTGGGTGGGATTGATCCTCATGGGGACAGAACGTTCTACCTCTCTTCACTGTGTCTCATCAGTATCCTGGCTGTGACCTAGTGCTATGATTTGTTAAGATATTGCCATTAGGGAAACTGCACTTGAAATCTATGATTATCTCAAAATAAAAAGTTTAATTTTAAAGAGGAAATTAGCAAAAATTACTTTCTTATATATAATTTGCCTGCTAGTATTTCGTAATCTTGTGAGAAGACTATGATTTACTTCTGCTGAAAGCTGCTCAAGTATATGACTTGTGAAATTTTTTTTACATTGGTTTATCCATTCCAGAATATTTTTCTCTTTGAAAATAGCATCCAGCACATTTGTCTTACCTGGATGACTTCCTTACTGTTTCCTCAGCCATTGGTTCTTAGTGTTTGTTTTGTTTTCTTCATTTGACTATAATTACTGAGCAACTGCTATAGTTGCCAGGCATGGTGTTGAATATTTTGCATATTAGGTATTTATTCTCTGTGAGACTCCTCATTTACTGCTGCATGATATTCCATCATATATTTCACAGTTCATCCTTTCTGTTGTTAGCTAGTATGGTTTGTTTCCATTTAGGGCTGTTTATGAATAAAGCTGCTGTATATTCTCATATGTGTTCTTTGTTGGACATGTGATTTCACTTCTGATGAATATATGTCTAGGAGTGGAGTCGCTGGGTTGTAGAGTATACATGTGTTTATCTTTAGTAATTTTCCATGCTAGTTTTCCCCAAGTAGTTATACTGGTTTATACCCTTACCAGAGTTGTGTTAGGGTTCAGTTTCTTAGTATCCTCACCAACACTTGTGTTTTCTGTTAGTCTTTGCAATTTTTTTTTTTAATATATTTTATTGATTTTGTACAGAGAGGAAGGGAGAGAGATAGAGAGTTAGAAACATCGATGAGAAAGAGTCATCGATCAGCTGCCTCTTGCACACCCCCTACTGGGGATATGCCCGCAACCAAGGTACATGCCCTTGACCGGAATCGAACCCGGGTCCCTTCAGTCCCCAAGCCGACGCTCTATCCATTGAGCCAAACCAGTCTTGGCAGTCTTTGCAATTTTAACCATTCTTCTAGATGGTAGTATCTCATCAGGGTTTTGATTCTCATTACCAAATGCATATTAGCCAGATGGACATCCTCCTTGGGGATGCGCCTAGTAGAGTCTTAAGGTTATTTCTCTATTGGGTTGGTTATTTTCTTACTCATTTGTAGGAGTTTCTTATATGTCCTGCCAAAATTTTGACAAATTTTTTTATTTACTGGTTTAAAGTGTACAGTTCAGTGGTTTTTAGCATATTCACAACACTGTGCAACCATCACCACTATCCAATTTCAGAACAAATTTCTATCACCCCAAAGAAACCCCTTACCTCACAATTCTGTCTGTTCCCCACCCCCTAGTAACCATTTATTTACTTTCTTTTCGTTCGATTTGCCTCTTCTGGACATCTTATATAAACGGGATCATATAATATGTGGTCTTTTCTATCTGGCTTATTTTACTTTGCATGTTTCAAAGGTTCATCCATGCTATAGCATGTTTTAGTACTTTGTTCCATTTTATAATGAATAATATTCTATGTCAGATATATTTTTCCTACTGTTTCCCTGTTTGTGACTTTCCTTTTCACTTGCTAAATGGCCTTTTTGATGAAAAACAGTTCTTAATTTTAATGAAATCAAGTTATCCATTTTTTTTTTACGGTTAGCAATTTTTATATTCTATGCAAAAGACCTTTGCCTAGCCATGGCCAGTTTACCTCAGTGGTTAGACCTGTGGGTTTCAGGTTCGATCCCAGGTCAAGGGCACATAACCTCGGCTGCAAGGTCAATCCCCAGCCCCAGTTGGGGCTTGTGTGAGAGGTAACCAATCCATGTGTGTCTCTCACGTCAATGTTTCTCAATCCATCCCCTCCCCTCTTCTCCCTCTTTTCCTCCCTCCTTTTCTCCCTCTCTCCTTCTTCCTCCTTTCCGCTCTCTAAAAGTGAATGGGGCTGAAGCCGGTTTGGCTCAGTGGTAGAGCGTCGGTCTGTGGACTGAAGGGTCCCAGGTTCGATTCCGGTCAAGGGCGTGTACCTTGGTTGTGGGCACATCCCTGGTGGGGGGTGTGCAGGAGGCAGCTGGTCAATGTTTCTCTCTCATCGACATTTCTAGCTCTCTATCTCTCTCCCTTTCTCTCTGTTAAAAAATAAATAAAAAATATATTAAAAGTGAATGGGGAAAATATCCTTGGGTGAGGATTTTTTAAAAAAGACCTTTTCCTACCCCTGGATCACAAAGATACTCCCTTTGTCCTCTAGAAGTGTTACTGCTTTACTTATCTTGTTTAGACCTGTCACATCTGGAGGTGAGAGTAACACGTGATAGAAGGAAGTGGAATTGGTTTTTTCACGTGCTTTTCCCCACACTGTGTGCTGAAAGACCCCGCCCCCACGTTGTGCAGGGTCACCTTGTCAAAACCCAAGAGGCTGTGTGAGTGCTTGTGTGTGTGTGTTTCTGACCGGCACTCTGCGCCCTGGGCCAGCATGCCTGCCCTTACCGCTGGCAGTGTAGCCCCAGCTTCCTTCTCCATCAGGGTTGTCTTGGCTCTGCAGGGTGGGCAAAAGGAGGTTTACAGTTGTTCGTATGGAAAATAATATCATGATTAATAATGCAAGAATAAACTATTTTTCATACTCACAACTGTAAACCTACTTTATTTTCACCCTGTATTTGTGGTCTTTCCAGTGTCCATGTACGTTTTTAGATTCAACTTGTCACTTTGCACACACGAGAGGTTTTGTTGTGATTCCAGTGAGCCCATAGGCCAGCTGAGGGAAAGTGACCTTTTCCCTCTTGAGTGTGGCACACACCCTCTGTTTACCGAGGCCCTCATCTGCATTTCTCAGTGACATCTGAGTGTTTGGTGCGGTAGTTGTGCACTTCTTTTATTTATTCCAAGGTGTTTGATGAGTTTTGATGTTATTGTAAATGGTATTTCTTCCAAAGTTCATTTTTTCCTTTTGTGGCTGATGCTGCTATTGCCTATAGTTTTACTGTCTCAAATTAAAAAGGCATCTTGCTAGTTGTTTTGCATCAGTGATGTCACACAAAGAAGTCTGAAACTGTTCATTTAACAGAACTATACAGGTAGAAGCCTAAGGATCCATAACTATTCTGTCTGAATGTGGCATTGAATCTACTCATGTCTAGATTCGCTGGTGCTTCCCTCTGGTTTCCTGCCATCTCCAGATAATTGTATATTAGCTATGTCTGCTTTCTCTAAGCAGTTTAAGTTGGCGATGGGAATAGTTTTTTATACAACACATTTTTCTAAATTTTTTTATTGAATTGAGAGAAGAAAAAAATGAGAGAGAGGAAGAGAAAAGAAACATCGATATGAGAGAGACACATTGATCAGTAGTCTCCTATATGGACCCAGGAATCAAACCTGCAACCTAGGTATGTACCCTGGCTGGGAATCCAACCCCAACCTTCTGGTGCGTGAGATGATGCCCCAACCAAATGAGCCACGTTGGCCAGGACAATAATACTTTTGTGCTGTTAATCCTCCATTGATTTTTAGAGAGTAGGAAGGAAAGAGAGAGACATTGCTTTGAGAGACATCGACCAGGGCCAGGGATCAAGCCTGTGAGCAAGGTTCGTGCCCTTGACTGGAATTGAACCTGGGACCCTTCAGTTCGAGGACCAATGCTCTATCCACTGAGCCAAACTGGCTAGGGCTATAATACATTTTTTTTAAGCCAGAGTAAAGCTCTTCCTTGATTCAAGGTAAAGAAAATGTATCACAAATATTTAATAAAATTTGGAAAATACTCTAATTCAAAAATTTCACAGCTATCTACGTGAATTGTTTTAAATGTTTTAAATTAATTTTTTCTCCCTGTATGGTTAATTCAACTCATGTTAGCTTTCTCATGTCGTCTCTCTGGGTCATCCCCACAGAGGCACCACTGGGGATCTCACAGATGTACAGCGAGATTTGATTTTCACAGCTTTATTGTGATGGTTCTGCTAGACCTAACAAGGCTGTCTTTGGGTGTAGGCTGTCTTTGGGTGTGAATCCTACTTTGGTAGAAGCCGGTGGTAACTGGTGGCACTGTGTGTGTGACGTGGTCTTTCCCTCTTCCCCAGGTCACAGAGCTGCTGGATGTCTCCATGGAGCTGGGCTGCTTTCTGGCCGGAGCGCTCATCTCTTCCCAAGGCCACATGGTCACCGAGGAGATTGTGTCTTACATCGAGCCGATTCGCGACTTCCTGGCTATCATTTTCTTTGCATCCATAGGTAATTTTCTGCTTTACATCAGAATGTTTAAATTGTGTTTGTTAAACACTTGCAGATTACCTCTATAATCTCTATATATTTACTAGTGGCCCAGTGCATGAAATTTGGGGGGGTGGGGGGCGGAGAACAGCCTGGCCTGTGCCCTGTCACAGTAGGGGAGTCCCACAATCCATCACTCCAAAGAGGTGAATATGTATTGAGTGTGAATAACCAAAGCAAAAATATGTACAATGGTTATGTTACAAAGCATGGCTCTTAATAATCAAGAATCCCAATTTGAAGGTGCCCTGAGGCAGGTGTCACATATCAGTGTTACCTAGCACCCTGCAGCTCTGGACCCTTGCTCACTTTCATATCTGTGACCTGGTGTATGTTCACAGTGACCGTGAGAACAATTGTTTATAAACATGGGCACCTGCTTTACCTGTCATGCTGTGTTCACTCACTGCCCAAATCCACAACTACACTCGAGGAAGCTGAAGCAGAGAGAGGTTAAGAGGCATACCGGCACCTACAGTTGGTTAGTGGTAGATCCGGGATTTTAGCCCAGAGCCTGTACTGTTTACTTTTGTGCTATTCCAGGTATGTACTTGGTATTTGTTGCAAGAATGAGTGGCTTTGAGTGGAAAAATTGTAGCATAACTTGCTAGCTCTCCTGTCACAGTTCTGTGTGGCAAAGACATTGTAACATGGGCTTCAGCTCACTCTGCTTTGTTCATGTCACTAAGCACTGGTTCCAGTTGTTTGGTGTCAGCGTTCCTCTCCGCACAGGGCCCTGCTCACGGCAGAAGTCAGGGGCGTGAGCAGCCTCCACCCTCAGAGCAAAGGCCTCTGCCATCTGGCCTGTGCTGAGCACCCCACTAGTGATCGGGCCGGTGAGGGACTCTGTGGGGGCCCAGGAGCCATCCACGGCAAATGCTTGAAGAGCGCTTAAACAGACAGCACAACAGGACGGTGCTTACAAGAATTCTTCCTTCTACTGAAACATATCTGAGGAGTTTGAGAGTGAATAGGTTTATCAGTGAGAAACTGGTGTGAATTTGTTCGGAGACCGGCTGTGTGATCCCGTGCCCGTCTTCTTCCTCACAGGCCTCCACGTGTTTCCCACTTTCGTGGTGTACGAGCTCACCATCCTGATGGTCCTCACGTTGGCAGTGGTGATCATGAAGGTACGGAGCCTCTCAGTCATTGGTGATTGGTAAAATTCTGGTTGTCTTGGGGTTTGCCTGTCACACAGCACACATACTTCCTCCTGGGCCTGAGTGCCTGCCCACAGCGATGGATGCCGAGTCTGTGAGCCCCCAGCAGGGCCACTTACCTGGAACAACGTCAGTGAGACGCCCCTCCTCCCCCTCCTGCTACCCCACCGCCTGGGGACAGGTCTGGGTTAGGATACAGGTGGTTTGGGTTTGTCTTCCTTTGTTTGTTCAGAACTGAGTATGTTTAAAACTCTGAGTTAGAAAGCTGGAATGGGAGAAATAGCTCTCTTCCAGAGAAGTCCTTGCACTAGAATTTGACTTTAATCTTAAATGAGTCTGAAGAACCATAGAACCTGCTCTTGTGATGCCTGCAGATATACATCTTCCTGGTCACAAGAATTATTTCACCACTCTCCTGTGTCTGTCCTCCAAGACTACAAATCGTTGCCTCTATTAACTCTTAATGTCCTGACCTGCTCTGTAGCTATCTGGCTTTCTGGGTTATAGAAATTGACTTAAAATATTTCCACTGGAAGGAGCCAGAATCCCCGATGATTGTCTAGCTGCCCTATTGGCTCCAGGCTGCTTACCCCTCTGGAGATTGCTTACATGAGAGAAATACATTCTCTTTTATTAAAAATAAAATTTCCATTGGAACGCTGTATAACATCTAATGCTGTTCATTTAGTTCTGGGGGCTGGGGAGGTTTTGTTTTCTGCAAATGAACCCAAGCCCTGGATTTGGCCTTGGTGTTCTGTGTGGTTTTATTTCAGACATTTTGTGCTTATTTGGTGCCTTCAGCATGGAAGTGCCTCTGTGTGTTATCCGAGGGCTGCCCCGGCATTTGTGTCCTCCATGTCCTGGAGGCTTGCCGCCAGGGCTCTGATGAAGCAATAACACGGGCCCTCTCGCAGTTTGTTCTGGCAGCTCTGGTCTTGTCTCTCCTCTTGCCGAAAACCAGCCAGTACATCAAGTGGATCGTGGCCGCGGGGCTGGCCCAAGTCAGCGAGTTCTCCTTTGTCCTGGGGAGCAGAGCGCGCAGAGCCGGCATCATTTCTCGGGAGGTGAGTCTCCACCCACTTCCTGTAAGTGTTCCGATCAGGCAGGTGCTTCGTCAGTGTCCGGTTAGACTCCCCTCTTGCTGATGTGTGAGCATCGTGTGTGCGCAGGTGAGTTTGCACGTATTTTCCCTCTGCATTTTCCACCTCTATCATTTGTCCTTTTTTTAACTGGCTGTGAACTAGAAGTAGATAAGTATTATTTGATGATCCATGATTGTCACTACATTTGATAAGAAGGAGATTTTGGGTTTTTTTTTGTGATGGGTGGTGTGGTGTGGCTCTAAAATGAAAAAAGGACTCCCAATCCCATGGGTAAATACGCTGCACTCTGTGCTTCCCTGTGTTAAAAGTTTAATGTTTAAAACCTGAATATGCTTCCAGGCCCAGATAACTGAGTTGAGTATTAGCCCTGAGTGAGCTAAGGGCAAATTGATGCTGTAACTATAGAAAGCATTTCATAGCCGAAACCGGTTTGGCTCAGCGGACTGAAAGGTCCCAGGTTTGATTCCGGTCAAGGGCATGTACGTTGGTTGCGGGCACATCCCTAGTAGGGGATGTGCAAGAGGCAGCTGGTCGATGTTTCTCTCTCATCGACATTTCTAACTATCTCTCTCCCTTCCTCTCTGTAAAAAAATCAATAAAATATATTTAAAAAAAAGAAAAAAGAAAGCATTTCATAACTAAAAGTAGAGCATTACTGTTTCAGTGAAAACAAGATGGAGATCAAAGGGAGTTTTGTTGTTGTTGAATGTATAAAATGTTGGGTAATAGTATAGGAATTTGAATTCCCTGCTTTTGAACTGCTAGCTCACTAAGAAATCACATGTGTGCTGGGCTGGAAAACTGCATACCATGTAGACTGTGAAAATCAGCTGTTTTTGTTCTCTTCAATAAATAGGTAGAAACAGTTAACTTCAGGATGTTTTTAAGTCATGAATTTGCAGACACATAAGTTCCTAATAGTAACTTCTATTTATAATCATTTTTTATTCTATAGCCCTCTTCTGCAATCTAGGTGTCACTCTTTGCCCCTTTTGATGTCTGTGTCAGCACAGTTGAAATTCTGGGCCTGAGGGGGTTTGCCCTGCTCTCATTCCCCTCCTCAGGGCAAAGGGGGACTCCTGACTGCCTCTCCTGACAGCGTCCCTCTCTGAGTTGTGATGGTGTCGGTCAAGTCCACCCAGCCAAGTGACACTGTGGGTGTTTGGACCTGCACACCTGCTCCCTAATAAATGTGGACTGGATGAATATAAAAGTTCTAATTGGTTCACATGAAATGCTGGTAAGGATTCAAAATTAAGTGGTTGCCTCCTTATGTCCACACGTGTGAGGAAAGTAAATCGCACTCCAAACAATTGCAGGAAAATGGAATCTATGCTGAGCTCCATCTGAGAGCTGCCCTGAGGCTGTACCCTCACTCTGAGTGCTGCCCAAGGGGCCAGTCTGGCGGCCTAGTGAGCCCAGGTGGCAACTGGTGACTACGATTGCACAGACTCCAGGGTGTGCACCAGTGATACATCGCCCGGACTAGTTTCCACTGATGCTCAGGGACTTCATCACAAGGAATAATAACAGCCTGTAATTATTGGAATCGAGAGTCTAGGTCAGGGGTAGGCCAAGTCAGTCAGCAGAGTGGCAAACCGTGGCTCGAAAGCTGCATGTGGCTCGTGAGCCGCAGTTTGCCGACCACTGTCCGCCTCACATCCAAATGTCGAGGCACCTGTGTCTGTATAGGGGTGTACCTGAGAGTGTACCTGTGGTTTGAGTTGGACATAGACTTACCTGTTACGGGTGCACCTCTTTTTTTAAAAAAATATATTTTATTGATTTTTTTACAGAGAGGAAGGGAGAGGAGAGAGATAGAGAGCTAGAAACATCAATGAGAGAGAGACATCGACCAGCTGCCTCCTGCACACCCCACACCAGGGATGTGCCCACAACCAATGTACATGCCCCTGACTGGAATCGAACCTGGGACCCTTCAGTCCGCAGACCGACACTCTATCCACTGAACCAAACCGGTTTCAGCACGGGTGCACCTCTTAATCCTGAGATGACGCTCAGCTTTACCTGTTGCAGGTGTACCTCCTGATCCTGAGCGTGACCACGCTCAGCCTCTTGCTGGCCCCGGTGCTGTGGAGAGCTGCAATCACAAAGTGCGCGCCACGACCAGACCGGCGTTCAAGTCTCTGAGGGCATCAAGACGATCAGCAGCTTTGCAAAGCGAAGCCTGTGTGCAGGGAAGCCTGATACTTAGACAGTTCTGTGACTGCACTTTGGGGAGCAAAATATGCTACTAAGGAGTGGGGTGTCTTATTTGCCCAGCTTTCCAATCTATTGCTGCCATATTTTAGAATCTTCCAGAGTAATTTATTGCGTTCAATTGATCATGCACAATATAAACATTACGCTGCATTTTATAAGTCGCCTTGACTATTTTGCCTGGATGTGCCTTTTTTTCGGAAATTAATGTTAACTTTCTATTGTTATTTTATCAGTTCATAATACCTTGGTAAAAAAAAAAATTAGAAAGCTTTTTTATTTATTGTACAACTTCGGTGTTGTAATCTGTTGGTCAGTATTTGTTATTAAAACATTTCTGTGATGTGACGTTTTAATTCTGGCAATGTGTTTGAAAAGTTGCTTTTAATCCTTAAAGCCTATGTTTTCTAAAATGAAATGTGTTTGTTTTTTTATTATAACAATTTTAAATAAAACACTTTCATGTCAGTTTTTATTAGGTTATATAATTCTTTTAAAATATTTGGTTTGGGGATTCTTTAATAAAGATCCTTTATGATCAAAATATAACTAATTGAAACTTATTGAAAATTATTTTAATAAGATTTTTGTGTTTTACTAATCTTTATCAATTTGTTGTTATTGTGATTTGAATATTACCACACTACTCTTCAAGAGGCCAAATTAATGTAGTGCTATTTGCAAAACCTAAGTTTTAACTTTCAATTTTAAAAGTGTATTTTGGTGATTATGTGCCCCATTTTAGAAAACCACATGGATGACAAACTGATCCTTATAAAGATTTTCCTAGGGGTTACATTAAACTACAGTTTCCCTATAAATATTGGCTTTAAGAGCCTAAATATTTGACCAAAATACTTGGACAGAATGTTAGGTGGAATTATGTATTGCAGATATAAATTATGGATTGCAGTAATATAAATTAAAACACTTTAAAATGAAATAAATTGCATCTAGTCTGAAGTAAGTCCATGGAGAAATGATACAAACGTGTTTATTTTTAGAAAATAGCATTGGTCATATTCATTTCTAAATTATACAGATGGTCCTGCCCATTCCCTTTGAGTCATCGGGTGTATACACAGCAGTGTGCTAGGCATCCTGGCTTGGCCCTCATGTGATGATGCTGAGGCCTTCCTATCCCATCTGTAACACTACCTTATTCCATCCAGCAAGCTGGAACACGCTGACGGCTTCTGAGATACCTTTTGTTTTGTATCGCCAGCACCCCAACAGAGCCAGAAGTTCATTTTTTGTTGAACTGAATGAAACCCATTTGATGTGCTTACATCAAGTTTTCAACAAAGAATAGAGTTCACATCACTCTGAAAATGAAGTAAATAAAGATGCACACTGCTCGGCCAGCATGGCTGTGGTTGAATGGTGACCTATAAACCAGGAGGTCACAGTTCAATTCCCAGTCAGGGCACATGCCCTGGTTGTGGCTCGATCTCCTGTGTGGGGAGTGCAGGAAACAACTGATCATGATCCTCTCATCACTGATGTTTCTATATCCCTCTTCCTTCCTCTCTGAAATAAATAAAAATATACTAAAAATATATCTAATAAAAGAGTGGTATGCAAATTGACCATCACTCCAACACACAAGATGGCTGCTCCCATGTGGACACAAGATGGGCAGCAGGGGAGGACAGTTGGGCAGGAAGGGAGGGCAATTGGGGGCGATCAGGTCTATAGGAGAGGACAGTTGGGGGGACCAGGCCTGCAGGGGAGGGCAGTTTGGGGGGGACCAGACCTGCAGGGGAGGGCAGTTGGAAGTAACTAAGCTGGCAGGGGAGGGCAGTTAAGGGAAACCAGGCTGGCAGGGGAAGGCAGTTAGGGGCAACCAGGCCAGCAGGGGAACAGGCTGGCAAGAGAGTGGTTAGGGGGTGATCAGGCTGGCAGGCAGGCAAGCAAGCAGTTGAGAGCCAACAGTCCAGGATTGTGAGAGGGATGTCTGACTGCCTGTTGAGGCAAGTATCTGTCCTGACCTCCCATAAAAGATTTATGGTGTTCTGATCCCAGGACTAAACAGGCAGTTGGACATCCCTCAAGGTGTCCCAGATTGGAGAGGGTGCAGGCTGCACTGAGGGGCACCCCCCCCCCCCTTGCACAAATTTCATGCACTGGGCCTCTAGTAAATAAATAAAGATATACACGTAATGACAAGAGGGAATGCCTTTAGAAGACTCTGCCTGTGGAGAATGCTCCTTGGAGAGTCCTAAGTCATCAGGTCACCATGAAGCCATGGACAGCTCTACCTTCACTCCCACCAGGGCCCACCCTCCTTCCTCAATACCTACCTGGGCCCACCCTCTGCCAGCCCAGGACTTGGATTCTTTACCTTTTACTCACCTGTCTTCACCTGCACAGCTGTGTCTTCTGCATCTATAAATTTGCTTCAGTCTACCCCATACTGAACTCACAAAGCCCTCTCTCAGTCCCATCCTGACTCCCCTTTTCGTCCAGACTTGCAGAAGGCTCAGGGAATTCGTCTCCATCCCTTCAAACCCCTGCACCTGGGAGCTGCAGACCACCTGCCTCTCAGGTACCAACATTGAACCAAACCGAACCATCCCCTGCCCTCCCCAACCCTCCACAGGCCTGGCTTCTCTAGCATTTCCTGTGTGTGTGTGTGTGTGTGTGTGTGTGTGTGTGTGTGACAAGTGTGTAGAGTGAATCCTATTGTAGATATGTCTGCCAAAGGAAACGTGTGCTTGCTGACCAGCTCGGTGGTGACATCATCATCTTGAATTTAAAATCGTGTCTAGAGGTTTGATTCCATTCCTATGAGACTGACATGCTTGGAGAATTGAACTTCCAGCCCTGGGAATTCTAAAGACAGATGGGAGAAGGGTGTATCAGCCTTAATACCAACAAAAACTGAGCAGTATTAGCTGACCGCGAGTGCCTTTGTCAGATGTCCCCCAAGCCCTTCATCTGGGTCGTCAGGTCATCAGGTTACCTGGAGCGCTAACCTGAAACCTCCACAACCACTGCATGCTCCAGCTCTCCTGTGGCAAGTCCCCACACTTGTCACACGTGCTGCAACCTGTCAGCATCCACCTGTGGTGTTCCTTGTCTCATGGGTCAGAATTCCATCTCCTACACTTCTGACGGCAGGGCCATCCCCTCCTGTGGTGTCTAAAGCTATGCTGAGGGTGCGGAGAGCAGGCTCGCAGCAAGTCAGCTCCCCCGGTTCACACAGCTTGGAGCATCGCACTCCACGTGTTATGGAACTTTACTCAGGCCTAAAGGAATCAAAGAGGAGAATGTCAAATACCAGGTAGCTACCTACTTAACAGTAGAAGATTAAGGTGGGAGTAGCAGCTATTAGAGCAAATCTTTCATGGGAGGTCAGGAAAGAAACTTGCCTGATTTATTTTTTTTTTATTTTTAAAAAATTTATTTTATTAATTTTTTTTACAGAGAGGAAGAAAGAGGGTTAGAGAGTTAGAAACATAGATGAGAGAGAATCATCAATCAGCTGCCTCTTGCACACTCCCTACTGGGGAACTGCCCGCAACCAAGGTACATGCCCTTGACCGGAATCGAACCTGGGACCTTTCAGTCTGCAGACTGACGCTCTATCCACTGAGCCAAACCGGCTTCGGCTTGCCTGATTTATTTAAGGAGCAGATATAAAATCAAACGTTAACGCATCGTTGCTTATGCACAAAACAGGGGAGGGGTGTGTAGAAGCGAAGAGGAGAGTTACTGCCTCTAGGAACCCGTGATCTGGTGTAGCAGACTCATAGATGAATGGAGCAAAAGGGACCTGCTCAGAAGCCAAAACCGGGTAGACCGGGAGAGCCAGGGAGCAGGCAGGAGGCGTTAAATGCTGACTGTGGTCTTCAAGGCCTCCTGGGAGAGGCCTATGGGCTGGACTTGCAGTGGTCAGAGGTCAGTGTGGAAGTCAGTGGGAAGGGCGTTGCCGACAACACATGGCCTGAGAAGAGCCATGGCACTGCAGGGGTGCAGCTCTGCTGTGTCAGGGCAGCAGGTGAGAGAAGTGAACAGAGCAGAGGGCCTGAAGGGGCCCCTTGAGCCGAGTCTTCCTCTGAGTGCTAATCCGTAGTGTGACAGTGAAGACAGCAGCAGTGCGGTGGGACACATCCCCTGGCGGTGAGAGTTCTCCAGAGACAGAGCATGGAGGTGACAGCTACCTCTGCTTCGGACACATTTCCTGCATTGAAAACAGTCCAGCCTTGGCTGGTGTGGCCAGGTTGGGTGTCCTCAGTGCACCGAAAGATTGCCGGTTTGATTCCCTGTTGGGACACATGCCTAAGTTGTAGCTCCATCCTTGGTAAGGGGCGTGCAGGAGGCAGCCCCTCTCTCTGGGAAAAAAAAAAAAAAATCAATAAAAAATATTTTAAAACACCAATTGAGGTGTGTCAGAATCCAGGAGAGGTGAAGAAGATGAGACAGACTCAGGCCCACCAGCAGGGATGTGTGTGAAGCCAGGTGTGAGCACCATGAGGGCAGACCCCACCAGGCAGGTGCAGATGGCTCTTCAAGAAGACAAGCAGTGCCCGAACCGGTTTGGCTCAGTGGATAGAGCGTCGGTCTGTGGACTGAAAGGTCGCAGGTTCGATTCCGGTCAAGGGCATGCACCTTGGTTGTGGGCACATCCCCAGTAGTGGGTATGCAAGAGGCAGCTGGTCCATGTTTCTCTCTCACTGATGTTTCTAGGTTTCTATCCCTCTCCCTTCATCTCTGTAAAAAAAATCAATAATAATATATATTTTTTTTAATTAAAAAAAAAAGAAGAAGAAGAAGACAAGCAGTGGCAGGTATTCCAGAAGCAGGCAGGTGAAGGGGCTCAAGGGGAGAGACAGAGTGAACGGGTTCTGCAAATGGGTGGCTGCTCTGATACCTCGGACTTGGGACATCCTGCTCCCTAGAACTCCTTGGATATCACTCTGACGTCCAGCCCTTGGCCGACAGCACAAATGTCAAGATACTTCTGCACTGTCATTGCTCACAGTTCATACGGTGTACCCCTGTTGCCCCACCAAACAGCATGGGGGTTGCCTCTGACCCCTGGGCTCACACCCCACCCTGGGAACCTAGGAAAGAGCCCCAGATTCATGCTCTCTACCTGTGACCTTGCTGTGTGGATCTTGCATATGCCATGTACATTCCAGGGATTGTAAGAACTCTTGTTTCTCAAAATTTCCTAATGATTATTGCTGAACTGTATCCTGTGACCATAATAAGACACAAGGGTCAGTTCAGCCTCAATATTGGCCCCGGTGAGAAAAATGTTCCTGTGGGCTTATTATGAGTCATATGGCCTCAAGGGTGTGCCTCCCATTTCTAACTGAGAGCATCACTGCCCATAAACTGGGTGTGACATAACAGATGCAATCTGCCAAAGCTCACTCAGAAGGAATAGGTATTCCTAGTAAGCCTATATGTAAAACAGAATCAATAATAAATAACTTCGTATAACAGAAAGCACGAGGCTCATAT